GAGACTTTGTACAAAATTCGTTTGCTTGGGCACCTCTGTCCCATTCGTGTTTCTACCGTGAAGCAGTTGTGTTTGCATGGCTGTGTTTCGGTTTAAAGGGTGAAATATGGAAGTTAATTTACAGGGTACAGAGGAATAACACCTGAGTCCTCAGGAATGGCAATGGGGGGTATCATGGGCGAAACAGTATACTCTGTTATGTCCATGGCACTGCTCATGTCTATAGGCGACGGTTACCACTTTTCATCAGGTGGGTCGTCAGCTTGTTTGTCATTCTAAGTTGCATAAAATGTCTGTGAATGGATAAATTCTATTATATTAAATATTTTAATGTGCCCAATGTAAATTATATACAATAATGATTTTACAGTACAATACAATTTAGCTATATTTATTTATATATAGAATTGTATTTGTTAAAAATAAATCGCTTGGTTAGGGATAAGAGGAAATGAATTTGCATTCATCTCCTATCAGTGGAGATGAATAAAATTACAGTATTGCCCACTGGGAAGACGTAGGTAGGAACAAGTGGAATTTGTCTTTTTTGTAATAACATACAAAAATTATAGACTGTTTGATACAATATTAATAAATTTATATTCTTTATTGCACTTGTAAATTACAATGTTAATGCATTTATAAATATTGTGAGCAAGGGTGGACTTATCTCTGACAGAGATCTCCTCCAGTCAACCCAATGCAGTTAGAAAACATGTTGTTAGCGGGCAGCTGAAGTGCTACAACTATTAATATTTAGTGTACATAAACAAATGTACAGTTAAATAAAATATTAAGATACATAATAAAATATTACATAAATACATATACTATAAATAAATATAATATCTACCTACTATAAATATTACATACAAAAATCCTTCTCTAAATTGACTCAACCTAGAATCGAACCCCGTGCCTCGCTACTCTAACGAAGCAACGCCGCACTACAATTTATCAACATCCTGTCACATTGCGGATGTCACTGTGTACACAATATCATTACATCTACCTTCCTGTTCCACACTTCGTATTTATTGCTTTCTAGTTGGTGCTCTTATCACTTTTTAGGGCAAGTGACAAATATTAGCTATAAATCTATAATGTTATTATGAAAGAATAATTCAAGATTTTGTTCCACAGATAGATCGATATTAATTTGTGATTAAAACAGTTCTTTTTATTTTATTCATTTATTTATCATTCACATGAAACATGATATATAAGGTGTTACATATAAAAAACATATGTGTACATGTTTCGCCATACATAGTCATGTGAATGTTAGGTCTTTAATACTATATTTATTTACTTTATTATGTTATGTCAATATGTTAGAGGGAGACTGTACAAAAGTCGATTGCGTGGGTACTTCTGTCCCATTCGTGTTTCAACCGTAAATTAGTTGTGTTTGCATGGCTGTGTTTCGGTTTGAGGGGTGGGATATGGCGTGAATTTACTGGGTACGGTGGAATAACACCTGAGTCCTCTGAAATGGCAACGTATGAGGGATATCATGGGCGAAACAGTATACTCTGTTATGTCCATGGTACTGCTCATGTCTATAGGCGACGGTTACCACTTTCCATCAGGTGGGCCGTTAGCTTGTTTGCCATTCTAAGTTGTATAAAAAAAAATGTCGGTGTTAATTTAATCATTTGCTCCATAATTTTCATCAACGTTTTAAAAATAGCAATACATACAATATTCGATACATCAGTCAGTGTATTGTATCATGTATCATATATGTATTTATTGTAACATTAAATTTGTTACATTATATGGGATATTGTTAATGAACCAATACTGTCTTTTAACGGATGATAATGGAATGGTAACCTCGTCTGCGCTATCGGTATACGCTGGCGGGGCACCATTGAAGGATGATTAGATGAAAAGGCAGGTAGGTCATTTAGTCCATCGTGAGGAATTCGACGATACTCAAGATGGTTTCCAGAAGGAACCGCTTGGAGGTCGACCTGATAGGATAAATTGATAACCAATACTGTATTAACGCCATAATATTGTATTGGTATAATTAATGTTAATTAAGTTAAAAAGTTAATGAAGGCACAAAAATATTAATATCTCAAATTAATTTATTTATTCGTCAAATATTTATGTACACTTTTGAAGTAACCATTTATTAAACTTTATGTTTAAAGTTTTATTGGCAAGTTCTCGAATCTGTTTTGGTGTTTTATATATATTTAATTACTTATGTACTGAACTAATAGTAGCGTAAATGTATCCTTTCAGATAAAAACTGAATTTTCCATAAAGTTATAAAGTAACAAACAAAAAAAATAATCGAATTTTAAACCTCCTTTTTTAAAGTTGGTTGAAAAAGCTATTTACGTTACAAGTGCACTTAAAATGAAACCTAGATATGATGATAAATCAGCACCACTATAATATTTACATGCAAAAAATATACATTAGCCATTTTATTTATATGTATTTGAATCGCCCCATTCCTTTTAAGTATTTTACAAAGTAGTGAAATGTATGAATGAAATAGGTGCATATGTGTGCGGTCGCTACGTTCAGAACGTGTTTTTTTTTCTTTTCGTTTTTTTTTTTCAGTGCGTATGTTAGTGTATCTTCTTAAAAAGATGTTGGAATTTAATGAAATTTTTAAAATGACAGAGCGCTTATATTTTATTGTAGCATGGCCGTATGTATATCGTACCATTTTACCATCACGTTATAGTAGGAGGCCAAAATGTATGCAATTCTATATAGTTACTATTATGTTTCTGTCAAGACATCGCTTAATTAACCACGATCTTCTATACTTTGCGGGAGTAAGGGAGCCTTAGGGCGGATTCCTTTGCCCCTGCTTCAACTCCGGGGGCGACTACTCCCGGGTTTATAGCTCTTCTCTATTGGACGAGGAGTGGTCTTCTGATACCGTTTACAGGGGGGAAAGGAATTGTTAGTAATGGAGACTGAGAATCCCATTGCTAACAATATACCCAACCAGGTCGACCTCCTCGCGGTTCTCCCTGAAAACTATCATGGTTAATTCCTGATGAATTCATCATGACGGGCTAACTGGCCTGTTTTCATTCTCGTCTATCACCCTTCACTGGTGCTTCGCCAGCGTATCCCGTTAGCGCAGGCGGGGTTACCATACCGTTTTCACCTATCAAAAAAAAAAACATACCGTTTACAATGTCTATTTCGTAGTACTTGAGTATAGGTGGCGCTTTGTGATATGTTTATAAATATTGATTAGTATAGTGATAAGTGGTTTGATCCAAGAATGAACATGCAATAAATTTGACTCTTATTATTAAAAAAAAAAAAAAAAAAAAAAAACAAAAATAAAGATGAAAATGTATTTACCAATGAAGACTTGATTCATTTCTATTCTTAGATTCTGCACGTGTTTTTTATCTAAACAAAATATTATATTTTTTTTATACAACTTAGAATGGCAAACAAGCAAACGGCCCACCCGATGTAAAGTGGTAACCGTCGCCTATAGACACGAGCAGTACCATGGACATAACAGAGTATACTGTTTCGCCCATGATACCCCCCAAGCGTTGCCATTCCTGAGGACTCAGGTGTTATTCCTCTGTACCCTGTAAATTCTCGCCATATCCCACCCTTCAAACCGAAACACAGCCATGCAAACACAACTGCTTCACGGTAGAAACATGAATGGGACAGAGGTACCCAAGCACTTTGTACAAAGTCTCCCTCTGGTATATATATTATGTATGTATGTGGTATGTATATATATTAGGTATAACATAATATAGTTCCCGGTATGATGCGCCGATATTCACAGTTATCTAGGCACTCCAGTGCCTCGGAGCGAGTGCCAAGAAACTCCGATATATTGTAGTGAAGACGTAAATTTGATAGGCGCCAAGAAAAAGCTTTTATAATCTGTTTTTTTTTTTATTCTATATTTGTCACAATTAGTAAACAAATTTAGTCATCGGTATGTCTTTGTTTAAATTTAGTTATTTAAAAATAAAGTGGACAGTAAGGTAAATAATAATATGTAAATGATAGTATCTAACTCATTTGCATCCTTTAAGAGTATTTTCTTTTCACGTTTTGCAATATGAGTATTAGTAGTAACATTTTTGGTATGTCTTGTTATCGTTTAAAATAACTAAAAATAAATAATAACAAATAAATTAAGAAGGTTTTCGTATTTTATGATATACAATAACTTAAGATTGTCTCCCACAGAAAAACTGACTACAATTGTGACAAAAAGTTATTTTCATTTAAAAAAAGAATTTTCCAAAACGGTTTATAACTGACGGAGTTATGAGGTATAACAAACATACAAAAAAAAACCAACCAAATTGAGAACCTATGTTTTGAAGTCGGTAGAAAATATAAAATTTGCCATGACATCGTGTCACGAACCATCACCTATGTAAGATATAATCGAAACTCGCTCATTTATTTTTCAAGTTGTTTTTAAAAATGTTATAATATTTATGATTGCTGCATATTCAAATATTTCAACCTGTTGTAAATAGCAGGATGCAGTAATAAAACATATATGTATTTGTGATATAATAAGTTTAGTGAAAAAATACAAGACATGTCTTATAAAAATCTGACTTAAAAAATAATACATTGTTCTGAAAAACCTCAACGTCAACAGCCAGTATTAAAACTCCAATACAACCTGAAATTTATTTATTTATTTATTAGTCGTTAGTATATGTACATGGCGGACTTAATGCTAAAAGCATTACTCTCCCAGTCAACTATAGGGAAGTGTCAGAATACTCGAATGCGGTATTAGTAATTATTGATTTGTTATTTATATACGTACTAAAATTACGTATATAAATAACAAATATACTTTCACTGAAATTCTTATTATTCGACGTTAAAGTTGACTTTATTTAAAAAGAAAGCAACCTATCATATAGATATTACTAATTAACTTATTCAATACCTTAACTAAATAAAAAAATTTGTCTTTCTTTCTTTCTAATCAAACTGTTTGTTTGCAGGTCCGTGCGTTGCGTAGCGAACGGACGCAGCGCGTGGCGGCCGACGACACGGTACTACTCGGCTGGTATTGGTGAGGCGGCAACATGAACGAATTGGACAGCCTGCGCCAGGAGGCGGAGACCCTTAAGAATGCTATCCGGGTACGTGTGAACTTGTCCATTTTCGTCCACCTGAATAGAGGACAGATTCGATACAGGGCCGGATTATCCATTAGGTATACTAGGAAACTGCCTGTGGACCTCCATCGGATAGGGGAGGCGCGCTCCTACGAAAATAGTTTTTCGAGATAAATCGTAAATTTTTTTATTTATTTTTTTATATTGTCATATTTTAATACATATTATTTCCGAATCGATACAAACATCGTAGCCTTCAAGAAAAGAGCATGTTCCTTTATAAAAGGCCGGCAGCACACCTGCGATCCCTCTCGGTGTTGTGAGTGCTAATGGGCGGCGGTAGTCACTTACCATCATGGGAGCCGCATGCTCGTTTGCCTCCTGTGTTATATAAAAGAAAAAAAAAAAACATTTCCTAATGCATTTAAAATTAGTATATAATGTTATAGCAGCATTTTTGCACATGAGATGTTCATTGCCTAGTGACCGCAAATATGGTTAATCCGACCCTGCTTCGACGTAACGTTATTTTTCAACTTTATGTATGAATCGTTTAAAAATTGTTGTCACACTTGCTCCATATTTCGGAGAGTAGATACGTAAAGCCATTGCCCAGTAGGCCACGTCCTTCCTCTATGACTGAGATGGTCTCAAAACTTGTCACCAGAGGGCGGCATAAATAATTAGTATGTAGTAGAAACACAGTCATGCATACACAATTGCTTCACGGTAGAAACACAATGGGACAGAGGTGCCCAAACAAATGACTTTTGTACAAAGTCTCTCTCTGATACAATATCATCCGATTGTATGCCAACTGGTACCAGCTTAATCCAAAAAATGGCTTTTAGTGAACACTGCCCTCATTACTGAATAAACACCGGTTTCGCATTGTAATTAAAGTTAATTTTTTGTTGTACATAGGATGCTAGGAAGGCGGCGTGCGACACGTCGCTCGCGCAGGCGACGGCCAACCTGGAGCCCATCGGCCGTATACAGATGCGCACGCGCCGCACCCTGCGAGGACACCTCGCCAAGATCTACGCGATGCACTGGGGCAGCGACTCCAGGTGATACTCGTGTTGTAATATAGCTTGTTGTTTCAATTGATCGCAATGAGAAATGTAAATAAACGAATAATCGACCCGACCATACAGACCGACACAGTTTGCTGATGACCAATTTTAACACAAATAAAAAATCGTCTGATTGATTCAGATTGTTTTAGGTATTGTATATTTCTCTATTAAAGTAAAAAAATTAATGAATAAACTTTAGTTTTTTTGGTAATTTCAACAAATCTTGCTTACCTTTTCCATTAAGTTCTTCTTCTGTTCCGTTGAACAAGAATATAATATTTCCTCTTTCTCCATGTAGTAACTGAGCAAAAATACGATGCATTACTTTTCCTTTAATCATTAGAATTTCATAAGACGCACCTAATTAAAATGAGGGTAATACTGCTGTACCAAAAATGAAAGAACTCCAAATTAAACCGTCCAGCTAGTTATATTTTAACAGGCTAATATCCACTCATGAGGAGAAATCTCGTGGCCAGATATTATTGACTTGAATATGTTTTTGTGATTCTTCCCAGTAGGCTCACACTCGTGTATTGTCCTACCATTCATTTAGGAATTACCCGTAGAAGAACTACTTGCTTAATGTCCACTTAAGTAACTTTAAAATTTTAAATTTCGAACTTGTCACTTTGCTGAGAAGGCCTTATTTTTTTTTTATTGGATGAAATTGAAATGGTAACCCCGCCTGCGCTAACGGGATACGCTGGCGGGACACCAGTGAAGGATGATCGATGAGGATAAAAACAGACCAGTTAGCCCATCATGATGAATTCATCTGGAATTAATCATGACAGTTTCCAGGGAGAACCGCGAGGAGGTCGACCTGATTGGGTATATTGCTAGCAATGGGATTCTCAATCTCCATTACTAACAATCCCTTTCTCCCCGAGAAGCCCTTATAAAATGAATGAAAATGAATGATGAAAATAAAATAGTGACCTCGCCTGCTCTATCGGCATACATTGACAGGACACCAACGAAGGATGATACATGCGAACAAAAGTAGGTCAGTCGGCCCGTCGTGACGAATTCAACAATAATTTATCACGATGGTTTCCAGGGGGAACCGCATGGATGTCGATCTTATATTTTTGTTATATCATCCGTTACTTGTCCACTGCTGAACATAGGCTTTCCCCATAAGGGGCGTTGTGACAGTATAAAAAATAGTTGTGAATTCTCTTAGTCGCCTCTTACGACATTCATAGGAAAAGAAGAGGTAGCCCGTTCTATTCCGGGACCACACAGTGCTCGGTTTTCGACCTGAGTACTAACGATTCCTTTCCTCTATGCTGAGGAATCAAGACCAGTCTTGATTTTTTTTTCTCTTTTTTAATAGCAATTTACAGATTAGGTTTATGTTTAACAGTGGACAATGCACATATATTAGTAACGTTGTTTCCATCAGTCTAAGAAATAGTAAGCATATTTCCTGCCCACTGAGTTACTCAAATAAACATTCGTATCTGAGGAAATCGTTTCCTAGAAAACACCTTATGCGACGCGAACTTTACGATTTCTATTGTACCAGTGTATTTTATCAAGAAATGAGGAAATGTTTATATAAACGGAAATGGTGTTTGCTGATCTTAAATTGATCTGTCAATTGATACAGGACACTGAAGAGTCCTGCGCTGCCTGAGTTTAACACGCATATATATATATATATTAAAATATAGCTTTTTGTATATATTATTGTATATCGTGTAAAACAGCCCTATAAATGCTATTCTGTAAAGCCAAGCTCGAATTTCACTAGCGAGTCCACGAGTGATTTACATTTTGTACTCTGTAAACCAGCAAGAGCAATGACAGGCACTATTTCGTTAAAGCGACGATGTAGTGAACTAGGTTAAGTGTGCTACCATCCTTAGGATTTCCTCGTTTTGCTTGTTATCCCCAAAGTGTACAGGGTATGAATGTAAAAAGTATTGCAAAGTGGAGTGTGAAATTTTACAGAATAGCGTAGCTGTTCCGTGTGGCAAAAGATGCGTACGTGACTAGCCGCTCGATTTTATACAGAGACCGTTGAGACTCCACACATTGCGACCTCTTTCTGGAGAAAGAAAGGTTTGGAAGCCAAACGACCATTGCTAAGTCGACCCTTTGACCAATACATTGTTCGTGTTTAATTAGAATTATATACTATTCCATTGAATAGACGAGGGACGAATAGAGCAGTTCGGTTCTAATTTTGTATATCCATTGATATGCGGGCGGAAAATCGATACCGAGGCCATCCCGGACCATCGCACCGCGCCGTAACTCAAACCTCCACTATGTACTAAAATACGATGGACCATTCTATCGTATAGCCATTATCGTCTCGCTACCGCACTGGGGTCGGCCAGATGTTAATCTACTATCACACATGGGCTTGGTATACGATTGTATTGCAAGTTTCTCTCCCTGTAGCTCAGCTGTTCCTCGTATCCGTAAAAAACTCTCTTCATTTTATGTTATGTCCCAAAATGGCGTTTTACGCCTTAAAATCTGAGAATTTTTTTGACGACAGGATGCTAATATGAACCGGATTGTCTTAGATTCCCTTACCCATGCTTATAAACTCCCGGAATAAGTCCGGTCTGATCTCTGGGGGATAGTAAGAAGCAATGAAACATTGTATCACAATTCCATAACGTACAGAGACACCATCGCGACATATGCAATAAAATACTTGTATATGTGTGACCTTTGTCAGGTTATTACTTTTGTAGCTGCAACCTATGTCATTGAAGCTCCAACCTAAAGCCCATGATGTATTGAAGGGTTCCATAGCATATTTGTATATAATGCCATGGATTTGAAGTATATTTCTACAGTGGTACAGTACAAATTCGGATCACTGCAGTCTGACACGCGAACCAAGACTCATCGCAACGTAAACATTCATATTATGACTAGGTTCTATTTATAGGATCATTCGCTATCTTCACACCGTATGTATAAATCGATATATTGAAATTATATTGTGATACTATCAATATTAAATGAATATGAACATTTTTTATTTTAAGAGATATGACTAGAAATGTTTGATGCTGTTTGCCGTATAGGTTCCGTCCGGCCTCAGATTTATACTCGTATAGATAGAGCAGTGGTTATCAATCTTTTTCATTGCGCGACCCCCTTAGTGTGTATAAATATATTGCGACCCCCTACCCTCTGTGGTTCCTACTTGTATTTTATTATATTACAAACTAGCGGCCCATGGACATTTTTACATATTATAATAAAAAGTGGCCATTAAGGCTGCACATGCGACGGAAGCTTAAAAATGGGGTAACTTCTCCCATTTTCCTAACATTTCCCTTCACTGCTCTGCTCCTATTGATCGTAGCGTGATGAAAAGTATACTATAACCTGCCCAAGAGTATGAAGAATAATTGTACCAAGTTTCGTTAAAATCCGTCGAGTATATACTTAGGCACGCAATGATTCCTTTGACATATCTATATTTTATTTTTTAATAAATAAAATGAGTTTTTACGCATTAAAAAGGTGCAGAATTTATAAGACAATAAATAGAGAAGGAAACACTCCTAACTATTTATCACGCAAAATTGTATGAAAAAGTTGACTCTCTTTCCTCGAAGCATTTGTATGGAGACACTCTATCGATATAATCTAAGGTACCGGCATAGATTAAATCGCCCCTTTCTTTCCCGTGGGTGTCGTAAGAGTGGAGTTATGGTGGAGGGATTGGCAGCAGCGTTGTTCTTAAAATATCACCATAAGCCAAACTGCAGTTGGCAATACACCTGCCAAGCGTGGCAACTACTACAACCCCCCCCCCCCCTTCTTATGAGGGGGGAGGCTATGGTCAACAGTTATAAATGAATGATTGAAATAATAATTAATAGAGCTTTTATATAAATGTATTATATTACTCATATTGAACGGGATTTTCCTGTATACGGATGAAATAATGAAACATCTGTTTCCTTCTCCTGATTTGTTTATGACGTGTGCTTTGCAGTTGTTCTCACACTGGACATAGTTTTCATGTATTATTTATTTATTTATTCATAGGAAAACCAGGGCTACATTAGAGCAAATAGATACAGTTTTAGCATAACAAAATAAGCCACTAATAAGTTTTCACAAGTAGCAACAATATAGATACAAGGCGCTGTACACAAAGCAACGAAAATAGGAGTTAACAAAAAAAAAAAAGTGAATAAACAAGAGGAATAAAAATAATAATAATAAGTAAAATACAAATTAAAGATTAAATGTAAATATTTGACCAATGTATGGCCTTTTTATCCATACAATAGTAATGCAAACTGACTACGAATAAAAAAATTGCTTACTCACTTGGTTTCTCAGTGATATTATATTTTTTGCTGATACTATATTATATTGACCGACTGATATTATATTATGTGGAAATAATAAGATTATGGTTTTATCCATTTATTGGCAGTGTTTTTCTTTTTATTTATTTATGAATGGTGTAACCATCCGCTTATAAAAATGGTGTAAAATAATGCCGTTGGGGGTTGAAATAATGAACATATGTTGGCAAATTGCTCACTTCACTTACAGTATCCCAAAACGTGTAGTGAGCTATAGGTTTATTTTACAAACTTGATAATTTTAAACAATATTTAATTAATTTATCATTAAATATAGCAATATCTATACTGATCAGTACAGGTGCGTACCGGCAGTCGCGGTAGTAATCGGCATGCACGTAATGTTATAAAGAGGAAAGATTTGTATTTTTGTGTGTATGTTTGTAATGAATAAACTCAAAAACTACTTTGCCGATTTCAAAAATTCTTTCACCGTTAGAAAGCTACATTCACCCCGAATAACATAGGCTATATTTATTGCTAGAAAAGATTAGGGATTCTTACTAAAACTTTAGTAACGTAACTCAAGGTGTAAAAAATGCTATAAAATATCTTTGATCTTGCAGCGTTGGATCAATATTTACTGTATTTATTATTATTTTTTACTTGGTGCAATAAACTAGTACTTTGCCAGCTTAAACCAATAGCACAGACGGGTTACCATTTAATTTTCACCCCATTAAAAATGTATTTATAGGTGGTTAAAAGACTTGAAACTGACGGCTAAATACATTCTCTCGCCAGGAACCTGGTGTCCGCCAGCCAGGACGGCAAGCTGATCGTGTGGGACAGTCACACGACGAACAAGGTGCACGCGATACCGCTGCGCTCGTCTTGGGTCATGACCTGCGCGTACGCACCGTCCGGCTCGTACGTCGCGTGCGGCGGCCTCGACAACATTTGCTCTATTTATAGGTGAGTTGACTGTCTGTTGCTTACTTACTACGATTAAAGACGAATATGTGTGTGTGTGTGTGTGTGTATGTATATTACACACACACGAGTGTATATACGAGAAGTAGATATATCCAAGTAGATTTTTGAAGTCACACTCTGGTAATTAAATAGGATGCTTTTGAGGGGCTGTCGAAGAGATTTTTAAGGAAATACACTATTTATATGTGATTGATATAGCATCTTTTTATTTATTTACTTTTTTTTACAATCAACATATATATATATATATATATATATATATATATATATATATATATACATATATAAATTATTAGAAAAAGCTTGTTTTTAAAAATTTTATTCAATCAGGATGATGAGATTTATTTAAATAAGTAATCCAATTGTTAAGTCAATATTCCACATTGCGTACCTGATGACCAAGAAATTTATAATTAAATTATTTTAATTAATATTTTAATAAAATTAATATTTGTATAATGATAGATAGATAAATAAAAACAACAAAAAATAAAAAAAAAGTAAGGTAAAAATTGTAATTATAGTAATGAATGTACGCTATGGCCTATAATACTTGAAATAAAAAATATACATACATACATACATACATATCTGTCACGCCTGTCTCCCATTAGGGTAGGCAGAAACAATGGAACGCCAAATGCGTATATGCGTATTTATTTTCCAAATAAAAATATTTATTATGATTATTATTAATCTATCCTTGCACACGTTTCAGTCTGAAGACGCGCGAGGGCAACGTGCGCGTGTCGCGCGAGCTGCCCGGCCACGCGGGCTACCTGTCCTGCTGCCGGTTCCTCGACGACAACCAGATACTCACCAGCTCCGGCGACATGACATGGTCAGTCGGCTTTACTCATTGCTACGACTGCACAAATATTTATATCCTTATTAATATTATAAATGGGAAAGTTTGTTTGATACCTTATAGTGCTTTAACAGCTTAAACAATCACTTGAATTTGTTATACACATGTTGAGATACGGGATGGAAAAGGATATAGGCTTTTTTTACCTCACTAGGATCTAAAAGCTCTGCTCGCAGAGCTTTTAGCCATGCGCAGATATGTCTGCTATTTATTACATGTGTACGTTTTTCAAAGGAGTAAGTTCCTTTTTTTTTTTAATGGTTGATAATGAAATGGTAATCCTGCGCTATCCCGATAGCGCAGGCGGGGCACTAGTGAGGGATGATAGGCGAGGCTGAAAAGACAGGTCAGTTAGCCCATTGTGATGAATTCAGCTGGAATTCAACACGGTAGTTTCCAGGGGGAACCACGTAGAGGTCGACCTGACGGGGTATACAGCTAGCAATGAGGCTGGCAGTCCGCATTACTAACAATCTTTTTTTTTTTTTTAAAACACTAACAATCTCTTCCCTCCCAGACTCTAGTCTGCCCTTTCTCAAATTAGAGTCTAGTTTATAAATATTTGTTGTGTCCCCCCCGGCAGCGCCCTGTGGGATATCGAGACGGGCCAGCAGTGCGGCCAGTTCACGGGGCACACGGGCGACGTGATGTCGCTGTCGCTGGCGCCCGACCAGCGGACCTTCGTGTCGGGCGCGTGCGACGCCTCCGCCAAGCTGTGGGACATCCGCGACTGCCAGTGCAAGCAGACCTTCCCCGGACACGAGAGCGACATCAACGCGGTCACGGTCAGTAGCGACACACCTGGCAAGGCTGAAACTTTCAGCGTCATCGAGTTAGCTAGCAATTTTAACCGACTTCAAAAATAAGGAGGTTCTCAATTCGGTTGTTATTTTTTATGTTTGTTACCCCATAACTTAGTTGTAAAACGATTTTCGAAAATTCTCTTTTTATCTCAAAGGATATACTTACAGGTTGGTTCCGTAGAAATTTTAGCAAAATCGAATGAGTAGTTTAGGTTTTAAATAAAAATAAATCGTTTTGTCACAATTAAAGTTTTATTTTTATAGCTACTTGTAAATTCTTTGAAGGGGAATAATAAAGAGTTTACATTAATTTATTCCTACACGCTTGCAATTCTTTTTGCTGCAAAATACGCAATTAAGAATGTTGGCTGTCAGGAAAGGAGATCATCCGTTCATTAAGGAATAATCATACCAATATTGTAAATGTCGAAGTTTATAAAAGCGTTTGGATGTTTGTTACTCAATCTTAAACGGCTGAACGGATTTTAATGAAATTTGGTAAATGAGTAGATTATATAAAAATTTCAAACATAATATAATGATTTTTTGTGTACTACTATTATATGTGTATTTACTATTTTATAAATGGTGCAATAAAGTGTAAAATAAATAAATGATTCGCGCGGCCAAACCGCCAGGAACAGTTAATAAATATAGAATTTATTGTATATAATTTATATCGGATACAATAAAAAATTATATATTATACAATGTAAGTTGTGTGTGCGCAGTTCTTCCCGTCGGGGTTACGCTTTCGCCACTGGATCGGACGACGCCACTTGTCGCCTGTTTGACATCCGGGCCGATCAAGAGCTGGCCATGTATTCGCACGACAACATCATCTGCGGCATCACGTCTGTGGCGTTCTCCAAGTCGGGCCGGCTGCTGCTCGCCGGCTACGACGACTTCAACTGCAACGTGTGGGACTCGATGAAGAGCGAACGCGCCGGTACCCTACAATGCATACATACTATCATCTTCCTGTCCTTATCCCAATTATTATTTGTGGTCGGCGTAATATGGTTTTATCCATATTACTAAAGGATTTGGGTTTTACGACCGACCGCCTGCCTGACGTCAGCCCTCTTTGGGAATGCATTTGTTGGTGGTTTCCGCCACCTACGGCTTGGGGGAAAGGATTGAAGAAAAAAGAGAAGGGAACATTGGAAATGCGTAAAGGAAATTAGTAAATGAGAAGAATAAGGGACTTATGTGGGAAAGGAAAGGATAGCCCGGGGTCGCTTACCTGTATGCCCTTTTTTAGAATGGGACATATTTCTAGAGAACACCCCTGACGTATACATTCTCATACTATATGTCTTCTTAATATATTCATATGAAGCGTGTACTGAAAGATTGAAAAACATATAGCATGTTAGTTCAACTCTATAGAGGATGGATGAAAGAATTAAGAAAGAGATAAAGCACGAATGAATGGAGATGTCAGTAGGAGCCACCCTAGACGGCTTATAATAATGCGACAGAATAAAAAAGACCCAAATGAAAAGTATCAGAAATAGGTGAGTGTGTGTGAATAGATCGGTGAATGTGGGGAAAGTGAAAAAGATCTGTTTCTTTCGGAGTATTTGGCGTTCTATTGTTTCTGCCTACCCTAATGGGAGATAGGCGTGACGGATATGCATGTATTTTATTTTATCTTTATTTGGTCACCCAGAAATTGTTACACTAAGAAAATTTAATATTAAGATTACTATCTATTTATATATATATGGACAATCATTTTAAGGGAAATGCAGCAAGATAATAAAAAAAAAACAATAATATACCTAGGTAAGTGTTATTTTTCCATCTAGAATACTACTAACGAAGTGTATTTTATTGCAGGTATCCTGGCCGGACACGACAACCGCGTCTCATGCCTGGGCGTCACCGAGAACGGCATGGCCGTCGCCACCGGCTCCTGGGACTCCTTCCTCCGCATCTGGAACTAAATATCCTCTACGCCCCCCCTCTTATCCCCCTCCACACTCCACTTGTAAGCGCGTCTCAACAAAATGGCCGCCACCGGGCCGCGTCAAAATGGCGCCTTTTATATCTGAATTTAAAATGTTTAACGCGCGAGTTTCGAATTTTAAAGTGTGTGAATGGGTCGCGCTTGTCCTAAAAAATATTACAATTTTATCGGCCGCGAACGCTCGGTTTAACTTATTGAAATATGAACTGTTACGCCACAGCCGTAAAGTGCAAATTTCAACGCAGTTAAATCGCCGAGACGCCCGTAATCTTGCAGTATTTAAGCTTAACTGATCTGATTCTGCGGTCTCTTGACTACGCAAAAGTTTTAACCACAATCCCCGCGTATTTTTGATTGCGTATCAAACGCTGGCGGGGATTCGAGACGGCACAGTAATCGCTTTACTTATTTGTACGTAGGGGATAATTTCTAAAGTGGAAAGCATTTAACGAGTTTCGAAGGATATATAGTTTATATGTGTGCGTGGCGAACGTATGTGTGTATCACGATCCATGTTCACGTTATAATTACATATTACGTATGCGTTAATGTTTAAGTAAATAGCGTAGCACCTAAGCCTTTCCCCGGAGGGCGGTCCCTGCCGTTTTATGTTTCTGTGACTTGGTAAGTTTATTATTATAACTTTTTCTGTTAAATATTAAAAGAATGTGAAAGTTGGTGACAGTTATCGGATGTTTGTTATGCAACATTGAAATTGCTGAACGGGTTTCAATAAAAATTTGCTATTTAGACAAATCATGTTTTAATCAACACATAAGGTGATTTTTATTCCATTTTTACGGGGATGAAATAGCTAGGTAAATTTTATATTCAAAAGTTACTAATGTCCTTTACTTAATTATTTATTTATACAAAACACAAAATAATTGTAAAGAATAGAAACTACATAACAATTTAAAAATAATTAATTGGATTGGTTTTTATTTATCATCATCATCATCATGTCAGCTGTGATAACTGTCCACTGCTGGACATAGGACCTCCCCCATAAACTGCCATAAGGAACGGTCCCAACCCACCTGCATCAACTAACTTCCTGCAATGTATTTGAGGTCGTCACTCCATCTAGTGGGAGGGGTTTATTATTATTATAAATAATATAGTTCAGTTCATCATATTACACAGTGGTAGCCCCCACTGCTCGCCTATACTTTTTAATGGATGGGAATGGATGGATACCCCAACTGCGCTATCGGTATACGCGAGCCGGGCATCAGTGAAAGATATAGGGACATCAGGCCCCATTACTAACAATCCCTTTCCCGCCGTGTCCAGCAGTTCATTCTCACCCATTAACAAGTATAGGCGAGCAGTGGTACTACCACTATGTAATCACGTTATGAACTGAACTATTTTATTTATTTACTATCGGCCCGTTCCGTCGCACGGGTGGACATTTTTAACATTTCCCTTCACTGCTCTGCTCCTATTGATCGTAGCGTGATGATAAGTATACTATAACCTGCCCAGGAGTATGAAGAATAATTGTACCAAGTTTCGTTAAAATCCGTCGAGTAGTTTTTGTTTCTATAACGAACATACAGACAGACAGACAAAAATTTTACCGATTGCATTTTTGGCTTCAGTATCGATCACTAATCAGCCCGTGATAGTTATTTTGGAAATATATTTTATGTACAGAATTGACCTCTACAGATTTATTATAAGTATAGGTTTATATGGTTTATATGCTTTATTTAGTGCTTAATATGTACATTAAGCACTAAATAAATGTTTCTTTTTTCTTTCTTTCTTTCACTTATATTCTTCTATAAATCCCAATTTTCTCATTCCAGATAATACGTCGCACAATAGTGAAATCGTATTAAAAAAAAATAAAAGAACCAAATACTATTATTAATATATCTGTGTAAAATTAATTGAATGAAAAATTTGTTTTTTGTCATATATATAAAAATTGTAATTCTAACGGTTGGAGCTAATTTATGGTTTAATTTTATAATTATTATATTAAGTGTAAATCTGTTTTTTTTTTCTATCTTGTCTTATTCACAAAACAATCTCGACACAAAAATTTATAATCTACATTAATAAATATGTTTTTAAACAAATAAACATCCTTATCTGAACAATTTGTTTTCATTTTTCAAATTTTATAAAAATATTATGCCAAGATTGTTTACCAAAGACAAGTAGGAAAAAGCAGAGTGTAACAATTATCCGATTAATGTTAATGTCTGTATGTATACTGTATAATAAAGATCTCTCCTACAGGTCGTAATCACCATTTCTTAGGGCTTCTATACACGTACTACAAATCGACAATGCACGAGTGCAACTCTGTCATTCTCTAACAAAATGTCGATCAGACATTTCATTTCCTTGTCGTGTGTAGATGCCGTTACAATGTTTCTCGTCTAAAGTTAAGCATTCCTCCGTCGTTTATAAAACTATGTTTTCATCCCTTAAAATGATAGAAAAAGTTTAAAAACCAAGATTGTATTAAACAAAATTGATACCAATGGATTCGACCTCGAAATACGTGGCTCACGTATGTTACGGGATGTAAGACGAACGTTTAGCATCCTATCTTCTCCGATTTAAGAAAATAACGATAATATCTAATCATAAAGATCTAATTTCATCAATAAAATTTCAATACAATCTCTATTTGGTTATAAGCTTTTTGATAGGAAGGCTATGTTCATATGTTAATTTTTAATGTAATCATAATACAATATACTTTAACATTTACAATACATATTGTTATCAGTCAAAACTTCGTATCAATATCCCTACATAACATCTTGTAACGGTATTATATATTAAACAGGTGTATTTAACATGTAATACTAAACAAGTCGTTCACAATTTATGACATTCAGTACCCTAATTATATGCAACGATGTTTGAAACGTATGCAACGATAAATCTTTGGGTATGTAACGATATAACCATTGCGTACGCAACGATTATCGTTGTTCGGTGAGAATGTAACATTGTAATTGGGTGCATAACGATTATTCGTTGTTTGTAATCATATTGTCCGTTTTGAGTGTAACGGTCAATGATAAATCATTTTCTTTGTGATGATTATTCTCTTAACATGTGCAACGATTTTCCGTTGTGTATACAACAATTATAATTGCATCTAATTCCGGTACTTACGTGTCATCTAATCCTATCTCAGGTCAAATGCATTTTATATTTCATTCCTAATTTTTTTTTTTTTTTTGTAACGTTTGGTTTTTTATACGAACGTTGAGTAACACGGTTTTAATGTTGATATAATTTGGTGTAAAATCAGCAATGGGAGCGTAGAAATTATGTCTATATTATTTCTTGAGGTATTTTTAAATATATTTTTTTATCGGGGGATACATTTAATCTCAATGTCGAGAAGTTATCGCTCGAAAATAAATTGTAAACGTGGAATTATAAAATGGAGATTAAAATTTTTAATAATTTATCGATAATCTACAGTGTTTAGTTTTTTTTTTTTTTTTTTTTATGTACTATATCTTGGAATAGCAAAAACTGTTTTGATATAATAGCATCGGTATACAAAAAACCCAAGATGTGTACAATCGAAAATTCGAAAAGGTGGTACTGAAAATAGAGCGCAGCATGACCAAATCATCGCCCGTTTCCAAGTTGTTCACTGTCAAAACATGTCGAAGCGTTCTTACGAATTTTTTAAAAATCGAACGTCCAAAACGCTGATAAGACATACTTTCTTTGATAAGTGTAATTCGTAAATATTAATCGTATTTATAAATATATATAAAAATAGCATTCGTGTGGCTTTTTGAACGGAAATGAATATCTTGGGTTTTTTATAGATCTATGTGTAACTGCACAAAACTCTAATATTGTATTTTAATTGAATATCTATCACATTGCAACAAATGCGCACGCGTTTTTGGCACTGATTAAATGCACAAATATTAATTGATCATTATTATAGCCTTTGTTTGACCAAAGTATCATTAAAGCTACATAGTCGTTAATGATACGTGGTGGTCGTGTTCATGAGGAGTACTTAGGGTCTCAAATGCACATCGTACATGAAACAGCTTGTGAGTATTGGTTCTTGGGATGGACGCATGGTGAGGGAGACCGTGGTATAATCACCATCTCACATTTAGGGTGAGTATTCACTGACACCATTCGCTTAGTACATTAATGTTACATTAATCACATCACATCAGCGAATTACGTTGATATGTAATATTTCAAGGCGGGGGTAATGGACACGCTCATGTAACGCCTCGTTATTTGAGCATGTTTCCGGTAAATACTCACCCTTAGGGACGCTCGAACATCACATCGCGTCCCTTATTAGTTCATTTTTCTAGAATAAGCTAGGCCATAGTTATTTAAGGGTATAAACGACAGGCATTCGTAACTCCCAGCATTCTGCGGTGCCAACTGCAGTGGCCGGTTTTTTTTTTTATTGTAAATTCGGTAAGTATACAGTTTGGTTTTCATGCACAAATTATTTATTTGACGGTCAAACCGTGTAGTTCTTGGTATTGTAGCCTGTATAAGACAATATTGAACTGGATTGAGGGTACAGTTTTGTAAAACAAACAAACTAGTATCAAATATAATAGTAATATTATCTGTACAGTCGATTTGGCACTAGTGTTCCCAAATGCCAAACACTACACAGTTGCATCGGGTCGGCTTTTTAATTTAATTACTTAGTCGATGGATGGTTGTCGCGCTATTGTTTTTAACTTTTTATTAAGCCTTCGTCTTAGATAGGTTATAATATATTTAGATGTTTATATTAAGGCAGGCGCGGTTCGACATAGCAACACTGGAGCTAATCTGAATATATCCAAATGCTTTCGGATTTCTCACCATTTTTAATCACAAACACTATGTTAGTATGTATTGTGCTCAAAATATGCATAATGTATGTATCTATGTAGTATGTGACAACTGTTTGAAGTATGATTTTTATTCGTGTTTATAATTTATTCCAATAATATTTACATTTTTATAATCGACACGACATATATAAGCTTCAATTAACGGAAAAGATGACTGTACGTTTTTTAAATGGCATATCAAAATTGCTCCGCAGTTTTATACACATTGATAAAAATACAATTCATAATAACGCAGTTTGATTTCCATTTTCTGTGTATTTACTATAAATCTAAAGAAATTATAGCAAATTGGTACATCATTGTATACACACGCATGCATCTACTTGTCTATATAAGGATTTCGTGTTAGGGATGCCATTTTATTTGTCCAATGCAAAATAAGATGGCTGCCTTTTTGGCGCGCTTTCAAAGCAAGAAAAGCAAAGGAAACAATCCCATACTGCCATCCATTGCACTGGACAGATAAAAGTTGTAGGTAATCGAAGTTGGCTCTGGTATGCTAGTTTTACGCATAGAATAAGACAATTTTTTAAAAATAAACATTGTTTTCTACTGTAACGGCTTCTTTTCCGATCGATGTACGAGAACATTTAATATGATATAGTATACTATTAAATATGTATAATAATTAAAATTAATGGATAGTTTGATGGCTCCTATTTGGTTTTTCTATTCAGACCAATTTTTCTCACTTTTACATCGTATTCTTGGAATGGACTGCCATATTTTAACCTTTAACTGTAACTTTAATAATATATATATCTTACTTAAAATGAAGGGTAAAATAAACGTTTTGCATCCACAGTTTTGATATCGCAAGGTTCACAGATTCTAATACGTACCATTTTACATTATAGAATAAAACGCTAACAGCGCGTACTGATAAGAGAATTACCTTGTATAATATGCCTATAGGTAACTGAACGAACCTTGGATGGATGGTAGAATTTGGTATTTTGATGGTGTTACAATGGAACGTTACATACATTAGGTTAATACCAATATCCCTGGATGTATATCAGATTCCTTTGACACCGTATTTAAAGTTTTTTATAAGTTAATTTTTATTTGCTAGTCCACGTCTTTGATATGTTAAAAATAATTATTCTTAGTGGTGTAATACTAATTATAATGTATTGTGTAAAATATTTTTTTTTTTTAGTTATTATTATATCAATAAATTAAAATTTGTTTATTTTAAAAATATGTGTTTTATTTCTGATTGAGCAGACGATGGACTTTTGAAATAACTACCTATCATTAAATAGTATCTATGGTATACATATATGTGTTACTAGTTTAGTATTATTTTGTATCTATGGTACAGGTCATGTCTGTCGTTCGTTCAGCTGTTCAAACATGTATGGCACCTAAATACCCATTATGCTACAAAGGAAACGCAAAACAAAGGCTCAAACATAGAACTTTACTATATTTTATACCAGAGGGAGACTGGCAACTGTAGTTCAGACTTTGGTGATGTTTTAAAAGCAACGCTACTGCCCATTGCTCGATCATTAAGTTCCCTTAGTCGCCTCTTACGACACTCACGTGAAAGGGAGGGATGGTTTATTCTATTTATTCCCTTATAATCTTTACTAATCTATCTATCTATCCTATTTAAGAGCTGCGCTCTTGTCGGTGAAGCTCTTGCCACTCACTACGATATGCAGCGAGTCTCTTCACCTCTTGACACGACACGACACCAACTCCTTCCTTGATCTGCCTGATGTAACTATGTCTCGGTCTCCCTCTCCCCCTCCTTCCTTCTATCTTACCTTCTATTATAATGTTCCTAAATTCGTCGTGTCGTATCAAGTGTCCTAACATTTTTCCCCTTCTGTCCTCAATAGTTCTAATAATAATATAAATACTACTAATATAAATGTAAAATTAAGTTTGTCTGTTACCTTATAGCGTATTAACGACTTAACACTATAAATTTGGTATACAATTACTATATTTGGGATGAAGAAGAATATAAGGTAGTTTTACTTAAATTACTTACCATTAAATGCTCTTATTTGCCTCTTAAGACGCACAGGAAAGAAAGGAATGTTCATAAATTATCCACAAAATAGATCTTAAAACTTTCAACGAACCGAATAACAGTAAACGAAAATACAATAAATGTTTAACGTAAAACATGATGCAAATTTTTGGCATCAGTTCATGAAATTTACACACTGACGTATGCAATCATCACTGCGGTCGCCCAGTGATCTAGGGCATTACTTAAACACTAGATATTACATAGAACGCGTGAGTTTACAAATTATATTTTCATTTTAACTTCAATTACGCGATGTGCTTAATAGAGCGAAACATTACTTCACGCCGGATCAGCAATTAATGCTCTACAAATCGCAAATCCGGCCCCACATGGAATATTGCTGTCACTTATGGGCGAGAGCACCTAGATACCAGCTTGAACTCGGTGCAACGACGAGTTATGAGAATTATCGATGATCCCAAGCTTACAAGCGGCATCGAACCCTTAAGTCTTAGGAGAGATTTTGCCTCTGCATGTTTTACCGCTTGTACGAGTATAACGGATTGTGCACAGAGGAATTGTTCAATATGATGCCCACGGCCACTTTGTACTATCTTAGGGCTCGCAATCTATAGGGAGTTCACCCTCATATCCTACAGCCTAAATGATCGCGTTCAACGCGGTTTGTAGAAGGATGGGATATGGCATATCAGAATAACAGAGTAAAGAAACATATCACCTTAGTTCTCAGGAATGGCAACGCGTGAAGGGTAGGTATCTATCATAGGCGACAAAATATACCTACTCTCTTATGTCCACGGTACTGTCAGGTGGGCCGTTAACTTGTTTGCCATTTTTTTTTTTAGTACGTTTGTTCCGTTGTGGAACAGGCTAAGGTCGGAGACCATGCTGCCTAGACTTCAATATGATATTGCCATTCTAAGTTCTATAAAAAAAGAAATATTTTTTTTAATACAATAAGGCAACGACATATATATGATACAGCCAAACGTAGTAAAATTAGACCAAATAAAAACACAATAGAACAAAGGTAGTTTTTATGGGTATAATCGTTTCCTAGGTACGAATATGGAATTACGAGTAATAAAGCATAACTAATCCTGTGCGTTTGTAGCATAAGACTCATATTGCAATGCAGCAACTTTCCTATGACAGAAAAAGGCTTAGGTCTCTGTCAGTTTTTAACAGACTTAAAAAAGAACTAGGTTCTCAATTCGATTGTATTTTTTTTTTTTTTATTTTTGTTACCTCATAACTCCGTCAATTGTAAAGCGATTTGGGAAATTATTTTTTTTTACCTGAAAGGATACTTACAGATTGATTTCATAGACTTTTTATCAAATTCGGTTCAGTTGTTTAGTTTTTAAATAAAAAAAAAAAACTAGTATTGCCACAATTAAAATTGGTTTTCTTGTTTCAATTATTTTTTCTTAGTTTCAATCGACTAGTGCAACGGTAATAACGGTAACAAATAGTACCTAAGTACATATATTTATATGCATTTTGGTGGTGGTATGGTGGTTGAAACAGTATACTCTGTTATGTCCATGGTACTGCTCATGTCTATAGGCAACGGTTACCACTTTCCATCAGGTGGGCCGTTTCAAGTTGAATAAAAAAATATGTATATAATATTTTTTAAAATTTTATAAAATGTTCTGACAAAACGAAAAAATTAAGAAATTTCAGGAAAAATGCTATTACTATTTTAATTTCGCTCGTTTGACAGTTCGTGCATTTGACGAATGTGATTGCAGCGAACAGCTGTTTTTTATTTATTTATTCCTATTCGAAATAAATATTCGTAGCTAAGATAGGGCAATGTCTGGCGGGGCACAGCTGATCTATTTAATATTATTATTTATAGTTGCTCCCTCCCTGATAATTGTATGCCTTACATACGTATGTTCTAATATTAGGTATATATTTAACATGTGTGGACTGTAGGTCCATAGTTTGCTGGTTCAAATCCGGCTCGAAGGACCACTATTTATATTTGTAAATTTGCTGGTTTTGTTTTGTATATATTATTTATTAATTATATTACTTGTAAAATAAAATTGTCGTCTGTTGACTTGATGTATTGTATATATATATTTTTTTGTTTTATTACAATTGTTTATAAATATTCTTTTTTATAAAAAACTACAATTATCAATATATAAAAAGGTTAATTTTGAACAATGTCGGGGATATATTATATATAGTAAATCACTTTATTATTACTTTTTAATTTGATTATTATACTTATATATACTTATAATTATTTTCCTTAATGTTTTATTATTCTGTTAATTTTCTTAATTATACAACACCTACTTGTACAACAATTAGTCCATTACCCTAAGGTTGTCTTGAAAAGATTGCTCTCAGCAATAAGACCGCCTCACTGTACTTATACAATTGTTGTTATATAGAGGAATTTCGGTGGAATATTTACTTTCATCACCTACTTCATCTCACACTTAGGTGCTGGTTCAGGGCTCCCGTAATTCGTGTTATCGGTGTCTATTTTTTCCTCGATTTATGTGTATGCATATAAAAACAATAATAATAACAAATAATAACCTAAACTCACCCCAAATAACCGAAGATTATTAATATTTTTAATCACTGCCGTGGAGGTCGATGGTTGTTCCCGCGTAAAAGTTGACACACCGGCGTTGTTGCACGGCACTCACACCAGAGGGCAGGCGTTTCCATATATCCCCGTAATGACTAATTTACAGGGACAATATATATTTATATGTGTGTGTGTGTGTGTGTGTGTGTGTGTGTAGAATTGTGAAAGTGTGGTGCCGCGAAGTAAAAATATTGCAGATAAATTAAACATCCCCCCGCCCGAGAAAGGCTGAATGCCTTTATCAAACAAAACCGCTTAAAATAAATAAATATTGGAAACTGTATAGACCGCACTTATACAGAACCCACTTATGAAACCGCAACAAAAATAATACTAATAAATTAAGAAAGCTAAACTAATACATAATAAATAACAAGGTTGCAACTAATTAGAGGGAAGTCTGCAAATCTTGACAACTGGACGCGTTATAGTGCCAGTTGCAGTCTTAAGTTTCACAACTCGTACTACACTGTCTTTACCAGGCAACAACTCTAAAATCCTGCCTAATCTCCACTTTAATGGTGGTAAATTTTCATCTTTAATTAGAACTAAATCATCCACCTTGGGAGGGTCTGTAGGAGACATCCATTTATTCCGAATTTGAAGAGTATGGAGGTACCGCTCACTCCACTTTCTCCAGAAACGCTGTGACAGTGCCTGAATAAGATTATACCGATTTAACCGCGAGTTAGGAATATCCTCAAAATTATATTCGGGCACTGATAACAAAGATCGACCGATTAAAAAATGTGCCGGTGTTAAGACTTCAAAATCTTGAGGATCTTGTGTCAAAGGACACAAGGGCCGGCAATTAAGAACCGCTTCTACTCTAGTAAATACCGTTACTAGCTCCTCAAAAGTTAATACCTGGTCACCGATGACCCTCCGTAATAACGTTTTGGCTGCCTTTACCGTAGCTTCAAAAAGACCTCCAAAATGTGGCGCTGCTGGCGCATTAAAACGCCAATTAATATTTTGTTTAGCAGCAGTACCACTAAGCTCCGCTTGTACTTCCCGAGAAGCTAAATATCGCTGTACTTCATCCAAATGTCGGTTTGTGCCTACATAATTGGTGCCATTATCCGACCGAATTACACTCGGGAGACCTCGTCGAGATGTAAACCTGGTCAAAGCTGCCAGAAAACTATCAGTAGATAAGTCCGTAACACATTCAAGATGAATGCATTTAGTAGCTGAACAAATGAAAACGCACAGATACGCCTTCAAAGTTTTTGCATTTCGCAAACGTGAATGCTTTATAATAAAGGGTCCGGCAAAATCCGTTTGCACAGTATGAAAAACTCCCGTAGCAATCACTCTATCGGTAGGTAACGAAGACATCAAGGGTTCCGCGGGTTTAGCCCTTGTCCGAAAACATGAAATACATTTAAAAATTCGGCTACGTATAACTTGACGTGCCGAAATAATCCAAAATTGACTTTGTAAAATAGCCTGCAATGCCGTTGAACCTATATGGCAATGCATTTTGTGATAATGATCAATTATTAAAACCGTTAATGGATGATCTTTTGGCAGAAGAAGAGGATGTTTCCTATTAAAAGACAAATCGGAATAATTCAATCTTCCTCCTACGCGTAATAGACCATCCTCACTAACGAAAGGCATAAGCCGCCGCAACCCTAAAGAACAAAGACTCTTTCGATTAATACAATCTAAATCATTAGCAAACGCTGTAGTTTGAACCAATTTTATTAACCGCAGTAAGGCAAATTGCCTTTCCTTTGCTGTCAAAACACCGGTAACTTTATGATTTGGATTTTTAGAATTATTAATAAACCGAAAACAATAAGCCACTACCGCTAGCAGTACAGTTAATGAACTAAACCGCGTAAAGATGGGATTCGCTTCCGTCTGTACCATATGAACTTTTACCATCGTCTTGCGAAGACCAGGCAAATCGCCTTCTGCCTTTTTCATTATATTCTGAGGCCAGGTATCAGCCTGACCTTTAAGCCAAGACGGACCCCACCACAATGTGTGTTCGAGCAATTCCGACGCGCGACAACCACGACTTGCAACGTCTGCAGGGTTCATTTCCGATGGTAAGTGCCGCCACTTTATATCTACACCGCTATTGACAATCTGTGACACTCTATTTCCTTCAAAGGTCTGCAAAAGATGAGGTGAGATCCGCAGCCATGAAAGTACGATAGTGCTGTCTGACCAACAAACAATATCTTCAATATCCACCTCATTCTGAATAGAGTCCACGACGTATTTGGTAAGCCGTACCAATAATGTCGCGCCACAAAGCTCTAGTTTGGGAATGGTAAGTTTGGACTTTACTGGTGAAACTCTTGACTTAGCCATCATTAAAGTTACAGTAACCTCACCACAGTTATTGACCGCTCTCAAATAAACAGCTGCGCCATAGCCGAGTTCAGACGCATCAGCAAATCCATGAATAGAGCAAATCTTAGAATCTCCTAGGGCAAACCGCTTCAGATTAAAACTTTCAATTACAGGCAAATCCTTTAAAATGCCTTGCCAATCCGCAACAATATCCGCAGGTGGTTTGTCATCCCATGACAACTTTAATAGCCAAAGCCGTTGCATCAGAATCTTACCTTGTAAAATGATTGGAGAAATCCAGCCCAATGGGTCAAAAGTTCGAGCTACCGTCGACAAGATGAAACGCTTTGTACATATTACATTATCATTCAGCTTGGTATGATAAGAAAAACTATCATTACTGGGATCCCATTGGATGCCTAATATTTTAATGAAGCTAGGCCCGTCCGCATTATCTACAAAGATACGAGGTTTTTCTAAATCTTCCTCAGATATGTCTCTCAATAACTCCGCGGTGTTAGAGGTCCATTTACTGAGATCAAATCCGCCCAATTTTAATAAACCGGTCAGATCCCGCTTAAGATTTTGTGCTTCTTCTAGCGTATCCGCACCACCCAAAATGTCATCCATGTACACGGAAGTACGAAGAAGACGCGCCGCCGCCGGAAACCGTGATTCTTCGTCCTCAGCCAACTGTCTTAAGGTCCGTATCGCGAGATAGGGACTCGACTTCATCCCGTAAGTGACGGTATTCAATTGATAAAGTTGAAGAGGCATATCTGGGGACTCTCTCCAGAAGATGAGTTGATATGGCCAATCTTTTGGGTTAATCAAAATTTGACGGAACATCATTCGGATGTCCGTTGTAAATACATATTTATGTAATCTAAATCTACAAATAATCTCCATTATGTCGCGCTGAAGCTTGGGCCCCGCATGCAAACAATCATTAAGACTAACTCCGTTACTAGTGCTACCACTAGCATCAAATACGACCCTTATATTTTCCGAACCTACTTTAAAAATTCCGTGGTGGCATATAATATAAAAACAACCGGAAACATAGTCTTCTGGTTTACCGACGCAGAGTGACATATGTCCCTTTTCCGCATAGTCTCTCATGAAATCTACATATTTTTTACGCAACGAGTCATTACGCTGAAGCCGTTTTTCCATTGCCAAGAACCGCTTCTTAGCTAATGGGACTGAATCTCCAAGCAAAGGTTTGTTGGATAAAAAAGGCAAATGTACAACATACCTACCGCCCTTATCCCGCTGATGAGTGCTTACAAAAATAGACTCGCACTCCATGTCCATAGGGTTTTTAACCGCGTGAGGAAGGTCTTCAATTTCCCAAAATCGTTTCAAAATATCATCCGTAGAAATGTTAGAATAAAATGTATGAGAAGAATGAGTAGTCCGAGGACATGGATCTGTAGCCATAAATGTGACAGGACCAGTCAACACATGCCCGAACACCGTATTCATCGCACGAGGTAAGTGGTCGTGTACCTTGATAGTACCGCCGCCTAAATAAATGTCCCCAATAAGATCCGCACCAATCAAAATATCAATTTCTCGACTTATAAAAAATTGTTCATCCGCAAGAACTAATCCTCTATAATTATCCTCTAATCGAGGTGATAAGGAGAACCCTGGCAAATTACGAGTGATTTTATTCAAAACTGTAGCCGTTGTAAAGAGAACAGGTAAATCCGCATACTTGGGTATAATAGTCAAGTTAACAACCCCTTTACAACCGCTTACAGGAATATCGCTTAGCCCCGTGACTGTTACTACGTTAGATTTAAACCGCTTTAATCCTAACTTATTAGCACAATTTTCAGAAATAAACGTACTCTGACTGCCGCCATCAAGCAGAGCACGTGCCTCTAGATAATATCCGTGTGAATCTAATACCCGAACCGTAGCAGTTGCTAGCAAAACTGTATGTTGGTAGGTCCCACAGGGTATTGCTTGCGATGACATTCCTCCAAACACGTTATTAACACTTGTACTCGTCGATTGAACCGTGGCCGCAGGGATCGTCACCTGAGGTACATGGTCCGGAGCATTCGTGTTACTCATGATGTGATTGGATGGTGATTGCTGTTGCCGCTCCCGCGCCCCCGCAGGGAGGTCAAAATGTAATAATGAATGATGCTTTGGCGAGTTGCATTTGTAACAATTTCTATTATATTGACATTGTGCAATATTGTGACTATTAAGACATCGAAAGCATAAATTATTCGATATCACGTGACGCTTTCTAATAGTAGGCGTTAAACCCAAAAATTTCTCGCACTTGACAATGAAGTGACCCGCTGTCCCGCAATATTTACAAGATGTGGTAGAATGATTTTGTATTACCGCATGGGCAGCTCGTACCGCTGCTGGAGCTGGCATTCTACGCCGCATAGAAGTGTTGGAGTCAGGAACCGCACTGGACTCCAACTTTCGTATTTCACATTCCAAAAATTTTAATAAATCCGAAAAAGTTGGTAGTTCCTTTTCCTCAATCTTGTTTTCAAAATCTTTTTTTAAGTTGTTATCCAATTTTTGAAAATTAATATAATATAAAATATATGACCACGAATCTACTGGAAAATTCATCTTTTCTAACGCCTTTGTATTTTCTAATAAAGTATTTACAAATAATTTAAGACCACTTAAATTCCTAGAATTTACTGGTGGCGCACTCAATAAATTGTGCAACAACTTATCCGCCAGTAACCGCTTGTTACTATACCGCGCTTTAAGCAAGTCAATTGCGATCGAATAATTATCACCAGTAACAGATAGGTGTTGAATTAACGTTTTGGGCTCCCCTACTAATGAACCTGACAAATAATATAATTTTTCCGTATTCGATAAAGTTAGATCTTGACCGACTAATGAATGGAAAAGGTCTATAAAGGAATTAAACTCCTCTAACTTTCCAGAAAATGTAGGGAGTGTCAACCGAGGAAGAATTGCCTTAAACTTAGCAGTGGAATCAGTATTTTGATTATCACTACCAAATTCTTGGTAATGAGTGTCTAAATCGCAATCATGTTTTGTTTCACTATAACAACTCGAGATGACGTCTCTTAATAAAGTAATACCTTTTGTTATAAGTTTCGTATACGGCTTTAAGTTTATCTAAATCAGAGTCATCCGCCTTAAGTTGCATTTCAAAATGCATAGATAACAAATTCTTGGTAATGAGTGTCTAAATCGGTATATCTAACTCGAAACTCATTCTTTTGTTCTACTGTTAGTTGGTCTGTCCAGTCACAAGATCGTATATAAGATCGATATTCTGAACTACCATATCGTACTTCATTTGTATTCTTTTAACCGCAGCCATTTTTAAGAAAATATTTATTTTAATTATAAGTTAATCGTAAAATATAAACAATAACAAACAGAAAATAACTTCAAAAAGTATAACGACTTGAATATTCAAACAATTAGATTTATCCTACAATAATTTAAAATAACAAAAATATATAGGTACTTATAGATTTCCTATCTTATAAATCTACAAGTATATACAAAATAAATAACTAAACAAATGGAAACTATGTGATTTACCAAACTAATAAACCACATAAAAGGATTATTCTCCTTTTATTGTATCCGCTTATTTAAAATAAAATATTGTAAAACTAATAAAATTAACAATGCTTATTTACCGATATAAGCCTTAAATAAATATGTTATATTACAAGACCGCAAGAAAGAAATAACACTTATTAATAATAGAACAACCTTAAAATCAACAAATACAAAAGTATCTAAAACCGCAAAAAATATATTTTATCTAAGTATTTTGTCGCTAAAGCTTAATTATACTTTTATGTCGAAAAAGTATCCAAGTAATTAGAAAAAAGCTCCCTGTTTTTAAATATAAAAGTGACAAAAATAAAAACGCAAAATCATTTGAAAGTCCAACCGCATCCAGATTTGAAACTTTTATAAGTTTCATAGAGTCTTTTAATGTTTCTGGAGATTTTGGACAAGTGATAAGATGTTGAAGCATTTTGGCAGCATTACTGAATTTGTAGACCTTATTACAAAGCTTGCAAGAAACAGACTTGTTTGATAAAGTACGGTAGTGCTCCCATATGCGTAAATCTTTAGGTCTCCCCATTGAACCTAAAAAATGAACGATGATTAGTTGGTCTGACGAAAATTCAACAATAGAGTGCCTATTTTTTTACAATGATTATTTCTTGTTATTTACAATAAATTTATTAAAAAAATAATAAAATAAATACAAAAAACCTCGCAATTGTAAAATTACATCTCCTCGGAGGATTAAACGCAGACGCTAGTATTATCGTATTGTTCTGTATTTTTCTCAGCAACTTCTTTAAATTAGGTACTTAAAAAATAAATATCTAGTACACATCTTAGGCTATCCACCATTATTATCAATGACGACTCTCAGCTAACTATGACTGAAAAATAAACGTGTGATGGAAAATTTTACTATCCGCTTGAGGATTAAACCAACATACGAACATGCAAACATACTTTATCATTTATTATTACCGCTAATAAATAAAACCGTATATTTACTTTATTATTTAAAAACAATTATTCCATCATTCAAAAACAATCAGAGGATGATAATCTAGTTGCAAGATTATAGAAAAGAAAAACAAAATACCTAACACGTGTGTACGTTAAATGAAGTTTTTTTTTTTTTTTGTCGTAAAATTGAATGTGAATATGTCAAAGTGTAATTATATGGGGCGGTCAAAATCCAAAATCATATATATAAATACCTAACACTGAAACAAGAAAGTTTACCGCAAAATACATAGAATTTCATCAATGACTTCCACAAAGAACAACATATAATTTTTTCTAAGTCCGTATCTTCCGATTTCACAGTATCTCTCTTCCGTAGATATAAGCTTGGGCTACATTGTTATGCTACGTGATTTTGTCGCTGTCTTGCTAGCAGGGTTGACAGATATACGATTTAAATCGTACTCATACTATTATTTGTCTATTTTTTAATGTACGATCGTAAAGATTATGATCGTAATTCGCACAAAAACATACGACTTTTTGGTTACCTGGCAACATTTTTATTATGAAACGAACATGCTCACATCATCAGTCACATGCAACAATTTATTGGGGTTTTCCCCTTCACATCTGGCAGTCCTGCTTGCTAGAATATAGGTAAGTCAGCCACAGTTACTGACGATCGATATTTAAAGGGTATTGTTTTTGTGCTAAATATTTCATAAAAACGTTATTTAATACTTTGTGGATTATTAATTTAGTTGATAATCACTAAGTAAAATGGATGCTAATTTGAGAGATCAAGATCTTCGTATAAAACAGTGTAAACACAAAAGGTACTTAGATCGCGTGTGTTCGAAGCATTTATTCTAATAAATTTAATTTAAAATTGTATTTGCCAAGCCGTAGCCGAAGCCGATCTCCAAATATATTTGGCGATAGTGAGACCCAGTGTCCAGATGATTTACCCAGCGTCGTCGCAACAAAGAAAAAAACGAGGATATAAAAGTAATTTACTGAAAAAGAAACAACTGTTCTAAATGCTTAATTTATGGAAAGAAACGTTCTAAATCTTAATAAAAGATCAAATGAGTATTTCGGACTGTTAGTGGCTCAAGAATTTAAATATATACGGCCATGTGTGCGAACGATGAAGAAATTTTAAAGTATCTACGGGAAGCAAAAGGCCAACATTTGAAAATTAATTACTTTCATTTTATTATATATAGATTTTTAAAATTTCCTGAAATATTATTAGTTAACGTTTTATTTAATATTGTAGAATTGATCAATAAAATTTATAAAAATAATTTATTGGTATTACTTACATATTTTCAAAAAAATACGTAAAAACCTATTTTTTTGGGTGATTATGGGAGTTTATGGGTGTTTATTGGGTTTTTACCAAAGCACCGGGTTTAAACCCGGTGCTTTGCCCATCTGTATATATTACAAGACCGCAAGAAAGAAATAACACTTATTAATAATAGAACAACCTTAAAATCAACAAATACAAAAGTATCTAAAACCGCAAAAAAAAATTAATTATACTTTTATGTCGAAAAAGTATCCAAGTAATTAGAAAAAATCCCCTTAAATATAAAAGTGACAAAAATAAAAACGCAAAAAGAAAGAACCGCATCCAGATTTGAAACACCGACCTCCAAATCGCAATCCGCCGCCCGCAAAGTTTCCCCAATATATGAATGAAAAATAGTGTGAAATACTAAACACTATCCGCTACTAAACCAGGTGCAAACTTTATCATTTATTATTACCGCTAATAAATAAGACCGTATATTTACTTTATTATTTAAAAACAATTATTCCACAAAAACAATCAGAGGATGATAATCTAGCTGCAAGATTTAGAAAAGAAAAACAAAATACCTAGTGTGTACGGTGAAATGAAGTTTTTTTTTTTTTTATGTAAATTGAATGTGAATATGAAAGTGTAATTATATGGGGGGTCAATCAAAATCATATATATAAATACCTAACACTGAAACATAAATATTACCGCAAAATATGTGTACAGTGTATAAGTTTCCGATTACTACTTTAATAATTTTTACAACGTAGATGGAAGCATATGACCTACGTGTATCCGCGATTTTAAGTGTTTTCTTTGTATAAATGATTTAAAATAGACAACGATAACGGGTTATAAATCCGTCTCGAAGCGATCAAATGTTATATAGAGGAATTTCGGTGGAATATTTACTTTCATCACCTACTTCATCTCACACTTAGGTGCTGGTTCAGGGCTCCCGTAATTCGTGTTATCGGTGTCTATTTTTTCCTCGATTTATGTGTATGCATATAAAAACAATAATAATAACAAATAATAACCTAAACTCACCCCAAATAACCGAAGATTATTAATATTTTTAATCACTGCCGTGGAGGTCGATGGTTGTTCCCGCGTAAAAGTTGACACACCGGCGTTGTTGCACGGCACTCACACCAGAGGGCAGGCGTTTCCATATATCCCCGTAATGACTAATTTACAGGGACAATATATATTTATATGTGTGTGTGTGTGTGTGTGTGTGTTGTAGAATTGTGAAAGTGTGGTGCCGCGAAGTAAAAATATTGCAGATAAATTAAACAATTGTATCATAATATTTATTAATTGCCTTGCTTATTTCCTATATTGTATAATGCAAATAAAGTATACTCATTCATTCATTCATATATAGGTTAAAAAAATTGCACAGTAAGCATGCCACAATCATCACAAGTATTGCCTCCTTTCCCCCCTACCCGGACCAGAAGCTGTGTACGCCATAGTCAAAAGCGTTACTAATATTGCATGTGTCATAACTTTTTTAGAATGGGACAATGAAGCGACTACTTGTATAAAGAAAAACCGTGAATCATCTTAAGATATCGCGGAGCAGAAGTAATATTGGTTTATATTTGAAATATAAGTAGGAAGAATAAGTAGGTAGGTAAGAACCTATAATGCTATAGCGGATGATTCAGCTTTCACTGCCTAAAATGTACTGTGACATCAGCTGACGTATGTTTTCCAGGGGAGAAAGGTATTATTACTAATGGGGTTTAACTGACCCCTTGCTAGCAATACGCCCTATCAGGTCGACCTCCACGCGGTTTCCCCTGGAAACCATCTTGGTTAATCCTAGTGGAATTCGTCACGATGGGCTAACTGACCTGCTGTCATCGTCACCAATTATCCCTCACTGGTGCCTCGCCAGCGTATGCTGGTAGCGCGGGCGGGGTTTCCATTCCATTATCACCCATAAAAAAAACGTATGTTTTTCCTTGCGTTTAATCGAAATTGGTTTAGTTTATCTCTAAAATAGACAAACGTAAGGCTTCGTAGTGTAAATATACGTATATAAATGTAAAATCTACAATAATAATATAAAATGAGAAATATATGGAGTCGGATTAAATACCTTTACTATAATTTTGTATATTATTTATTTATTTCTTATTTTTTTTTAATGGGTGAAAATGGTATGGTAACCCCGCCAGCGCTAACGGGATACGCTGGCGGAGCACCAGTGAAGGGTGATAGATGAGAATGAAAACAGGCCAGTTAGCCCATCATGATGAATTCATTAGGAATTAACCATGATAGTTTCCAGGGGGAACCGCGAGGAGGTCGACTTGGTTGGGTATATTGCAAGCAATGGGATTCTCAGTCTCCATTACTAACAATCCCTTTCCTACCAACCATCATGGTTAATTCATGTCGATTTCGGCATCATTGACTAGCTGACCTGCATTAATTCTCACCTATGTATTATCCCTCACTGGTGCCCTGCCAGCGTATACCGATAGCGCAGGCATCCCCGCCCGTCATTTTTACCCATTAAAAAAAAATATAAGATGGGCGCTACCATATATTATGTGAATTTATATTGATGTTTCTATGTATAAGCGACAGTTAATTTGTTTTACTTATTCGTAGATAGGTTCGTAGACTCTACCATGAAAATTTCTTATCGTTTAGACACTTTATTGTAGAGTTGTGACGACTCATCACTCTCGATATTTCTTTACGTGTTTCATTGTACACACGAAATTCTTTGACCGGTCTACGGATTTAGAATTCATGGTAGAGCTACAGGTAATTAAATATAAAATAATATTTATAAAAACATGTATTTCGAATGCATAACGGAATATGGTTGTATTGTAAATAAATAAACGCTTGTTGCAAACTCTACCAACGAAGGAACGGAGCGAGCGCGCTCGACAGAAATAGTTCTGCGTCGGACGAGCCAACTAGCTTGACCATGGTTTGGGAAATTGTCGGATAACTGTATAAATTAACGCTTCAGTCTTCGTACTGAATCTTTTTTTTTTTAGGTTTTACTATATTTTCTCAAGATATATATTTCCGAAACTACAGGCGAATCTTAAAAAAAAAAAAAACTATAATTTAAAAGTGTTTAAATAATGTTTATATCGATTTTGGGTAAACGAATGTACCAATCGATACGCTATTATACGGATAAGATAGAACGAGACAGCAATATTTGGTGCCTTATTTTATTTATATATTGCACCAATATTACAGGACTTGTTGAAGAATTATTCTTTCTCGTACGCGCAATAATGCGAACGTACCCTATAAATTTATTTGCTATTCGTCAATTAAGGCTGAGGTTTTGTGTACAATCTTTAAAATAAATAAATGAATTATTTATTTATAATAAAAAAAAAATTTTTTTATTATAAATAAATAAAGAAACCTACTTGTACAGATAAGTCCTGTGAGTTTTAAAGCCGCTATTTTGTTTTTTTGTAAACCAGTTTGTTGTTTGTAATTCGAAATTGTGTATAAAATGTATTTTATCTTTCAACATTTACTATTCCTGATTTACAATTGGTAAAGTAGGCATACTATTAAAGTAGCAACCAAATATTCAACCCACTTGACGACAAGTCGATATTTATGTCGTGAATAAATTAGCTACTTTTAGCGAGGAGTTTGCATTTATTAGCTTACTGCCTACTCTATTTAGCATCATTTTAGAGAGAGACCTAGTGTTGATATATATAACAGGGTTAAATGGTCCAATTACCAACAATGTGCTCTATCAGGTCGACCTCCACGCGGTACCCCTGGAAATCATCTTGGTTAATTCTAGTTGAATTTGTAAGGATGGGCTTCTATTATTTTCATATGTTGTATCTCACTGATGCCCCGCCAGTATATATCGATAGCGAAGATTGGGTTACCATTCCATTATCATTTATTAAATAAAAACACTTATTCCAACTCCCAATTATATAAGTTTTGGGGTCGGCGTAATATTTTTTATCCATATTACTAAAGGTTTTGGTTTATAGTTTTACGACCGGCCGCCTGTCTGACGTCAAACCTCTTTGGGAATGCATTTGTTGGTAGTATCCGCCACGTACGGTATAAAGGAAAGTATCAAGGAAAAAGAACGGAGACTGATAGTTTTTTTTTTTTTTAATGGATGATAATGGAATGGTAACACCACCCGCGCTATCGGTATACACCGACGGGGCACCAGTGAAGGGTGATAGGTGAGGATGAAGTAGGTCAGTTAGCCCATCGTGACGAATTCAACAAGAATTGTTCACGATGGTTTCCAGGGGGAACCACATGGAGGTCGACCTAATAAGGCATATTGCTAGCAATGGGGCTGTCAAACTCCTTTGCTAACAATCCCTTTCCCCCCGGAGACTGATAGTAAAGGATGTTAGTAGAATATATATAATTATGTATTTATTAATATGATATTAAATATGGAATTTTGCTGTGTGGTCCCGGCATAGAATAGGCCACTCCTTCTTTTCCCGTGAGTGTCGTAAGAGGCGACTAATAGAGAGCGAGGAATAGGCAGCAGCGTCCCTTATAAAACATTTCTGAATCCTAACAGCGGTTGCCAATCCGCCTGCCAAACGTGGCAACTACTGGTAAAATCCCCTCAAGGGGGAGGCTTACGTTCACCAGTGGATAGTTAAATACTGATATGAGAAATATGAAATTACGAGAAACTCACGAATCACGGTCACCGTACACCCAAAGCTTTTCTGCGTATTATGCAAGACAGTTCCAAACTTATTTTCGTTAGTACCAAATCAACTCGCGTCGAGTATTCATCTCCTACGGATAACACACTCGAACTCGGTCTTAACGCTGTCCTAATAAAGTTTACTATCGCGTGAATCATTTATCGAGTGCCGTAATAAAAGTGTGAACGGAATTAAACGTTACAAGTGATTATTTTAACATAAAAATAACCGCGGGATTGTTGCACAAGCGTTCTGTTTGTATTCACATAGATTTTTGTGTTATTTAATATAATATTATTATTTATTACTGCAATAATTTACTCAATGCGCTGAAGTTACAAGAAATACACTAGAAAATATTAAGCGCCTCAATCAATTCTAATTATTTTTATTATCTTTTAAGAAAATCAGTTTATTTACATTGTAAAGTGAATATATTTTCTGGTTCTTCGATATATTAATTACTCAAGTACATTGATGTAACAGTTCTAGATGGATCATTAGCAACGTTGTCGAGCTGTATACATTTTCATTGCTTCTCTTAAAAAAAATTCTAACACACTGCACACGCTATAACGTAGTAACGTCACAGATCCAGTGATACCATAACAATAGTTATATTTATAGCTAATAAGTATCATAAAGTCCTAATTAATTGTTTTTCACAAAAAAAGCGACTTTAATTTTGGCTAAACCTGTTATTTAGATTTTTAAACGGAACTAATGAATCGATTTTGATAAAATTTCTACAGGTTTAATCTGTAAGTATGCCCTTTTAGATAAAGAAAGAATTTTCCAAATCGGTTTACAATTGACGGAGTTAAAAGACTTTTTTTTTAAGTCGGTTGAAAACTGTAATAACAAAAGTTGATCAAATGTTGGCAGACGCGTAATTTTCTTTAAAAACAAAACAAAGCGAGCCAATTTTTAATGCTGCAAACAATTACAGAATGAAGTCGACATAATTAGCATCCTATATTAGTGATAGTCGACTTTTTTAAATAAATATGTTTTTTTTTAATGGATGATAATGTAATGGTAACCCCGTCTACGCTATCAGTATACACTGGCGGGGCACCAGATTGGTAAAGAGTAACAGGTCAGTTAGGGAGGAAAGGGATTGTTAGTAATGGAGACTGAGAATCCCATTGTTAGCAATATACCCAACCAGGTCGACCTCCTCGCGTTTCCCCCTGGAAACTATCATGGTTAATTCCTGAGGAATTCATCATGATGGGCTAACTGGCCTGTTTTCATTCTCATCTATCACCCTTCACTGGTGCTCCGCCAGCGTATCCCGTTAGCGCAGGCTGGGTTACCATACCATTTTCAACCATAAAAAAAAACAGGTCAGTTAGTCCGTCAAGACAAATTCACTAATGAATCAATCACGATGGTTTCCAGGGGAACCGCGAGGAGGTCGTCTTGATAGGATTATATTACTAGTAATAGAGTTAAAATAGAGTAATAGAGTTGCTAATCCCCATTACTAACAATCCTTCCCCAAAAAGAAAAACATATATGTTCTTCAAATCAAAGCTTTTAATTGAAAATTCGATTTTTTTTTTATATAAATTGCAATACCTTCTTTCCTGTATGTAAATAGTAACTAATTTATTCAAAAAAATCCTTCCCCCTTAAAATCCTATTATGAAAGGAAAATGGGTAGAAATACGACTAAATAAATTTAAAACCTGCCTTCCTAACTTTCCTTTCCCGTGGGTGGAAAGTTAGGAAGGCAGAGACCAGAGGGAGACTTTATACAAAAGTCGATTGCTTGGGTACCTCTGTCCCATTCGTGTTTCAGCCGTGAAGCAGTTGTGTTTGCATGGCTGTGTTTCGGTTTGAAGGGTGGGATATGGCGTGAATTTACTGGGTACAGAGGAATAACACCTGAGTCCTCAGGAATGGCGACGCATGGGGGCGGGGCATGTATCATGGGCGAAACAGTATACTCTGTTATGTCCATGGTACTGCTCATGTCTATAAGCGACGGTTACAACTTTCCATCAGGTGGGCCGTCAGCTTGTTTGCCATTCTAAGTTGTATAAAAAAAAAACAAACTTTTCTGTTTTATAAATTAGTATAATATAAAGAAATATTTGTTAAAATAAAAAGAAATTTAACTACCGGCTGACTAGTGGCTTACGAGTATTAACACATAGCCATAAACAGTATTAGAAATCTGAAATTTTGCATAATGACCTCATGTATTTACAAGTTGCGTCAGAATATGCAATTTTTGTTAGCATTTTCAATCGACTTAAAAACAAGAGGTCCTCAATTCGGTTGCAATTTTTTATATTATAATATCTATACTGGGTAATGAAGAGTCTTTTTTTTTAATGGATGATAATGGAATGGCAACCCCGCCTGCGCTAACGGTATATGCTGGCGGGGCACCAGTGAGAGGTGATAAGTGCAGATAAAAGGGCAGGACAGTTAGCCCATCGCGATGAATACACCTGGAATTCAGCACGATAGTTTCCAGGGGGGACCACGTGGTCGACCTGCTAGGGTATATTGCTAGCAATGAGACTGATAGTCCGCATTACTAACAATCCTTTCCCCCCTAATGAAAAGTCGTACACAAGTTGTGTACGACTTTTCATTAGGTTTCTATGAGGACCGTGTGGAAGTCGATTCAACTTGTTGTTGCTGATAATGAGATCGTTACTCATAGGCGTATTTAAAAGTGGGGCCAGATGGGCCATGCTCATCTCAGATTTGTCTAATTCCCATCTCAGGATGTGAGAAAATCTTTCAGATATGTTCGAAAACATATCTAAGGCGCTGGCCATCCCTCCTTCCTCTAATCCCCGGAAAATAAGCTACGCAAATCTCACTATTTCCTAGACCTGCTTGCTAGGCAAAGATCCGATATTCCATACATACCTTCATAAATAAAACGAAATAAAACATTACACTTAGATATAAAAAAAAAAATATAACTCCCCTTTGGCAGTTGAGAAAAATGGCGTAACCCAGGGCTAACTATAAAAACAAGTGACGTGTCCACACGTGTAAACAAACACTGAACAATTCGCGTGAAAGACACAAGTGGGTGTGACAGTTATACAAAAATTGTTTTTCTCTTTTTCATAGCTTCTTTATTCATTCATTAATATAATATATTTCACAACAATTTACACTAACAGTTTTACATCTGCCCTCTGAATAGATTTTACTAGGAAAAAGGGCATGTGAGTAGCGGTGGGTATCTATATATATATTTAAATTACAATATCTATATATATATATATTTTTTATGGGTGAAAATGGTATGGTAACCCCGCCTGCGCTAACGGGATACGCTGGCGGAGCACCAGTGAAGGGTGATAGATGAGAATGAAAACAGGCCAGTTAGCCCATCATGATGAATTCATCAAGAATTAATCATGATAGTTTCCGGGGGAACCGCGAGGAGGTCGACCTGGTTGGGTATATTGCTAGCAATGGGATTCACAGTCTCCATTACTAACAATCTCTTTCCCCCCAATATATATATATATATATATATATATATATATATATATATATATATATATATATATATATATATATATATATATATATATTGGCCTAATATGGATATATTAAATATCAGTTATACAATACATAACTGCATTAATAATAATATATTACATAACTACACTGGGTTGGCTGGTCAAGAGATCTCTTTCAGAGATGAACCCTCCCTTGCTAACAAGTTGTTAAACTAATCGCTGTATCTTTTGTTCAAGTGTGATAAAGATATGTATAGATAAGTATATGTATATATATATATACATATCCGACCGGTATGGGCGATACCAAAATAGGTAATGATCTTTTTTCCATCATGAATCTTCAAAGGAAGTGGACATATAGATATTGGAACGGTATCGACATTACGCATGGCTGCTTGTGAGTAATGAGATTCAACAGCTCCATTGCTAGCAATATTGCAATAGCAGTATCAGGCTGACTTCCTCGCGGTTTCCCTTGGAAACTATCTTGGTTAATTCCTGAAGAATTCGCGGTGAGCTACCTGGTCTGTATTCATTTTTACTTATGATCCTTGACTGGTGCCCCGCCAGCGTATACCGATAGCGCAGTCGAGGTTACCATTCCATTATCATCCATAAAAAAAAAACTAGATTCGACTTTGTCATAATCAAATTTTTGTTTCGCAAGACGGTCGATTCAATCAGCCTAATTATAAATATCCTAAATGCTGTTCATATTCTTTCCATCAGGTGGGCCGTAATCTTTTTCTTTTTGTAATGCAATTCTATGTATCACAAAAAAAGACTAACCGTGAAGCATACAGTATAGATTGCAAAGAATATAATAAAAAACGATTCAGAAATAGTAAAATTATCACGTAAGACTAAAAAAAAATTGTAGAAAAAATAATGTATTGAGAACATTAGGTGTGAAATTACTGGATACAGAGGAATAACACCTGAGTCCTCAGGAATGGCGACGCATAGGGGATATCATGGGCGAAACAGTATACTCTGTTATGTCCATGGTACTGCTCATGTCTATAGGCGACGGTTACCACTTTTCAATCAGGTGAACCGTCAGCTTGTTTGCCATTCTAACTTGAATAAAAAAAAAACATTTCTCTGGTGGTTGGCATATTGAAGGGGGGCAGGTCTACCCTCAGGATCAGAAACGGAGTTATTAGCTGTGGCCAAAGATATCTCTAACAGTTCATTCTATTAAGGGGCCAGATCAGACCAGAAAATATTCCCAAACGAACCAATATCTGGTTACAAATTGTTTAAATCATTTCATCATCGTGATTTGGACATATGTACACCTGAGAACCATTACCCCCCACTCTCTGACAGTCGAGTAGGAACATTAAAAGTGAAAATTTTGAGGTTAAACGAAAATTACGGTGTGCCAAACATCCAACGTTCGCGTAAACAATGTATGAAACAGACCGTTCGCACGGCAACACAAGTTCTGATAATATTATTTCTGTAACAACAGCGCTGCTAAGTGAATTTGAACCTTTTCGCGTTGTGATAAATACTCATATGAGTATTGAAGAATGAATTCTTCATACTCTTACGAAGGATAAAGGTTGGCACGTGTAATAGATTTAAATCAATTTTTATTTTACACTGAACTTAAATCATCATCACAAGTGATGGGTACTAGCAACCCCAGTATGACCCCAAAACGAGTATCCCCTATCGGATCAACCTTCACACAGTTTCTTCTGAAAATTATCATGCTTAATTCCTGATGAATAAGCTGCGACTGGTCAACTGGCCTGCTTTTATCTTTACCTATCATCTCTCCCTTTTTTTTATGTAATATAAGGTATAAAAGGTAGTCTTAGAATGGCAAACTAGCTGACGGCCCACCTGATGGAAACTGGTAACCGTCGCCTATAGACATGAGCAGTACCATGGACATAACAGAGTATACTGCTTCGCCCATGGTACCCCGCCAGCGTATACCGATAGCACAGGCACAGCTACCGTTCCATTATCATCCATTTCAAAAACAGACATCTCTAGAGCTAGGTTTTTGTATTAACCGTCAACTGTCCACCGCTGAACATAGCCTCACCCATAATAGGAGGTTTGCCAGTAGTTGCTATTCTTGATAGGCGGATTGGCAACCGCAGTTTGGCTTTTGGTGATGTTTTAAGAGGGACGCTGCTGCTCATCCCTCCACCATAAGCTCTCTTAGTCGACCCTTATTACACCCACGGGAATGGAAGGGGTGGCCTATTCTTTGCCGGGACCCACACGGCTAGATGTATGTAGGTAAATTAATATAATTATTTTACTCACGTGATTCATAAATTTATAAAAATAAAACATAATCACGGTAATTCCTATCTCTTAACAACTTATGTATGTATGTAAATAAATAAGTTACATATTTTGACAGCTAATCTAGACTATTTCCTAACATAATCTAATAGGAGGAAAAGGGATTGTTAGTAATAGAGACTGAGACCCCCATTGCTAGCAATATACCCAACCAGGTAGATCTCCTCGCGGTTCCCCCTGAAAACTATCATGGTTAATTCCTGATGAATTCATCATGATGGGCTAACTGGCCTGTTTTCATTGTCATCTGTCACCCTTCACTGGTGCTCCGTCAGCGTATCCCGTTAGCGCAGGCGGGGTTACCATACCATTTTCACCCATCAAAAAAAAACATAATGTATTTCAAATATGTAAGTTAATCCTTCTTTGCATGATTTTTTTTATTAGTGAAATAAATCAAGGCGATATAAATAATGTTCAAAATTAAAGAAAAAAATGGTTAAAAAATAAATTTGACAGCTATGTTTTTTTTTCTGCAATGGACATTAAAAAGGTATCCAGACACGATCGACTTAAAGTGAACTTGTTCTTTTATATAATTTTTGGGCATTTAATGTTATGATGGAAATTTCCACCATTTCCAAAGAAGGGTTAAAAAGTATTTACGTGGCGTAAGATTTTCGAGAATTTCAAATTACAAACACAATTGAATGGAGGGAAAGGGATTGCTAGCAATGGAGTTTGGCAGCCCCATTGCTAGCAATATGCCCTATTAGGTCAACCTCCACGCGGTTCCCCCTGGAAACCATCGTGAACAATTCTTGTTGAATTAGTCACGATGGGCTAACTGCCCTGCTTCATTTTCACCTATCATTCTTCACTGGTGCCCCGCCGGTGTATACCGATAGCGCGTGTGGGGTTACCATTCCATTACCACCCATTAAAAAAAACCACAATTGAATGTACAAATAGATGCAAAAAATATTCCCCCATTTATTATGATTGTATAAAAAAACATTGCGTCTTAAACAACACTATTGTAATGATACTGCAGAATAGGTAACCCTAGTTTTATTTTTTGGAGTGTGTACACGGAGAATTGAAACGGCGTATGTCTACCTACTCTGTAGATTAATCATAGCTCCGTTTTACCAGACCTTGATGCTATTACGTCGCATCTCTAATACCTACCATTGTAACCTTCATTTTCCTTGAAATACAATTTACATGCGTTCACAAATGTGAAAATTTAATTCGTGAAAAATAGTGTACAGTCTATGTTTTTGTTGCAACTTTATATTTTTCTCCTTCGTAGAAACATTTCGAACCGAAATATTTCTAGAATATTCCATTATGAGAATGAAAATAGACTGTTATTTTGTTATGTTATGTTACATACACACGACTGTATTAGTGACAAATTAAAAACTCCACTATTTTATTTATGTATTTAAATAACTTTATTGACCAAATTAAATCATGGCACAAAAGTCGGACTTAACGCTAGTAGCATTCTCTACCAGTCAACCTTTGGGATGAACAGTGAATCACGAACGCGGTACTTCATTATTAGGATTTTTTTAATGGGTGATAATGTAATGGTAACTTCGCCTGCACTAATGGTATACACTGGCGGGACACCAGTGAGGGATGACAGGTGAGGATGGAAAACAGGTCAGTTACCCCACCGTGATAATACGCCTGGAATTCAGCACGATAGTTTCCAGGGGGGACCACGTAGGGATCGACCTGATTGCATATATTGCTAGCAATGGGACTATTTTTTTTTATTGGATGAAAATGGAGTGGTAACCCCGCCTGCGCTAATGGGATACGCTGGCAGTGCACCAGTGAAGGGTGATCGATGAGGATGAAAACAGGCCAGTTAGCCCATCATGATAAATTCATCAGGAATTAACCATGATAGTTTCCAGGGGGAATCGCGTGGAGATCGACCTGATTGGGTATATAGCTAGCAATGGGATTCTTAGTCTCCATTACTAACAATCCCTTTTCCCGCCGCAATGGGACTGTTAGTCCACATTACTAAATCCTCCCCCCCCCCCCCCCCCTTATTATTAGGATATTTAATAGCAACAAAAACAAAAGATGAGGGTTCGGTAACTAAATTACATATTATAGAAATCATTATCGATACCAACAACCCATTGTCTCGTAGCTATTGGGATCTTGTCCCGTGAAATAGAATTCTAATTAAGCGATTGGGCGTCAATAGAACGATCAGTTATTATAAGTTGTACATTTAATTTGAGTTTTATTGTAAAATTTTCTTTTTCAATAATTTTACTCATATAACAGTGGATACAATATAAAGATACGCATTCGATTTTCTTAAGATTTCGTGGGAAATATCTCATGAAAATGTACAGATACCTACATATGTACAAGCGGGGGGAAAGGGATTGTTAGCAATGGAGTTCGACAGCCCCATTGCTAGCAATATGCCTTATTAGGTCGACCTCCACGTTCCCCCTGGAAACCATCGTGAACAATTCTTGTTGAATTCGTCACGATGGGCTAGCTGACCTACTTTATCCTCATCTATCATCCTTCACTGGTGCACCGCCGGTGTATACCGATAGCGCAGGTGGGGTTACCATTCCATTATCATCCATTAAAAAAATATATATGTGTACAAGCATATTTATCATGCTATATTTATATATATTTAAAATATTTTAATTCTAACAAGTAGTTTTGAGATTCTTAAACACATTTGCCAACTAAAATCAATTTCCTACGCACTAAGCATATACCATAGATAATATATAAAAATAGAAACCGATCGTTTCATGGACGTTAAAACCGTTGTTCTGTTATGATAATAAATTTAAACAATTTTTTAACATTATAAATTTAAAATTTAAAACATATTTAATGTAAAAGTATCAAAAAATGTAAGGTTATGTTTACAAAAGCATGATTACACGTTTATTTATGCGAGGCAAATCATACTAATTACCTTTACCTGATCATTACACATTACCTAACACTGTGACCTCACGGCCGTATTGATTTCAGACATTGAGTAAGCGAGGTAACAATTTAAAAAAGTGAAACAAGTGTCAATTGAAAAATACGAATAAGGAAATCATGATGACGATAAGCGAAAGACAATACTCCTCGAACAAGATGTCCAGCATCCACAAGATCAACGACAGAGTCGTCCACCGGGACAGCTACGACGATGTGAAGAGTTCCTCGAGCGTCAACAGTGCCTTGGTCACCAAACGGGGCTTCAAACCGTCCGATATGTTTGATCCGCAAAAGAAAGCGTTCCTCACTAACCTCAGTTATAAATTGTTCCCTGTAAGTTGGGTAAGTGTATCTATCCTATTTAGAATAATGGAAAGCTTTCGACAATAACAAACACGCAAGCGCAAGGTGTGCCACAAGGAACTGCTCTCGGCCCTCTAAATACGCTGGGCCGTTGTATGTATTATTGTCTAAGTATTTAGTATTTATACCAGTAATTAGATATTACTCACCTTTTTACTAACATAATAAACATATGGAACAAATTTTAATATAACTGAAATCGGTATTATATTATTACAATGAAGTTTACCTATAGGGTAAAAGAAGGAGTTTTAAAAAAGATACATAAAAAAAATATTTATTTATTTATTCTTTATTGTACACAAAAAATTACAACATATAATATATATAAAATAAAGATGTACAACAGGCGAGCTTAACTCTGTAAGAGTTCTCTTCCAGTAAACCCTGAGTGGAAAGGAGCATTAATTATTAGCGGGCAGTATGCGTACAATAATAGAAACATTATAGATGTTTCTATTAAAAAATAATAAATATGTTGACATATATAAGTAACTAATAATATAATATAATATAGTATATAATAATTATCAACATATTTTATTCACAAGACAAATTATTCTTTATTTGCGTATTGTAATAGATAATTTAATAGCAGGATACAATTTAAAGAAAAAAACACAAACACAACACCTGCTGCAGATTTTTACCATCGTACAACCCGCCATAAACTAAAATTTCATCCCAACCATCTGGACAAGTGGCGGTCCTCCACCGTGCGTTTTTCAAGGCACTTTCTCCCACGCACAACCACTCTTTGGAATCAACTTCCAGCAGCAGTATTTCCGAACCGATACGACAACATAACCTTCAAGAAAAGAGCATATTCCTTTTTAAAAGGCCGGCAGCACACCTGCAATGCCGTAGGTGTTGTGGGTGATCATGGGCGGCGGTAGTCACTTACCATCAGGTGAGCCGCATGCTCGTTTGCCCCCTGTGTTGTAAAAAAAAAAAAATACAGTTTATTTCTCTTTTCAGTTCTATAATTACTATTTAAATTGAAAATCGCTGAATAATTTCAAGAGCATATTAAAAGAGCATCTCCTATATTCATAAACGCGTTATGTTTGTGAATGTGTATGCATGTATTTTATACAGTTCGAGATAATATTTTATATATTATATATATATATATATATATATATATATATATATATATATATATATATATATATATATATGTATTATTATATACAGTTATATATGTATATATTTTAAATGTAAGTATATAAGTTGGTTTGGTCATTTGGAGAGGATGGATGAAAGAAGAATTACGAAAGAGATTTATCGAGCAAGAATGAATGGAGATGTCGGTAGGGGCCGCCCTAGACGGACGAATGTCGACCAAATAGGCGACATGCTGAAGAAGGGCCAAATTAAAAGTACCCGTAACCGGCATGCGTGTATGACAAGATTGATGAATGTGGAAGAAGCGAAAGAGGTTTGTTTGAATCGAAGCATTTGGCGTTCCATTGTTTCTGCCTACCCTAATGGGAGACAGGCGTGACAGATATGTATGTATGTATGTATATAAGTTAGTTGGTATTTGGATAAACATATTTATTATTATTTAATAGAAACAACCATACTGTTTCCACTTCTTATTGTACGCACACTGCCCGCTGGTAATTAATGCTCCTCTCCACTCAGGGTTTGCTGGAAGAGAACTCTTACAGAGTTAAGCTCGCCTGTTGTACATCTTTAGTTAAAATAAAATTATAACAATGTAATTTTTGTGTACAAAAAAGTATAAATAAATAAAAGGGAAAAATTACAAAGTTCTGGTGACGTTTCTAATTTAATATTAATCAGGGTAATTTATAAAACATCCATTTTCCTGAGTTGGCTGAGTTTTGCCATTTGGGACTATTTGGGATTAAAATTCAGCCTGCAACGCTTTATTGATGTATATATATATTTTGAATTTTTTCATTACCATATTAGCCTTTGACTGTCCACTGTTGAACTCCCCTTTGGGAGGTTTTATCAGTAGCTGCCACGCTTGGCAGGCAGATTGGCAACCGCGGTTAAGGTTTGGAGATATTTTAAGAGGGACTCCGCTGCCCATCTCTCGCCCTCCCCTAATCGTCTCTTATAACACCCACAAGAAAGGAAGGGGTGGCCTATTCTACGCCGGGACCACACGGTTGTTGTTTTCTTGCTTATTTTCAATTTCCAAATTGTAGATCTTTATATGGTATCATTTAGTTTTTACAGTTGTTTATCTGTTTTTTTTTTTTTTTATAAGTAACAGAGCAAGTACTTAATTCAATTGATTTTAATACTTTGGCAACTATCCAGCCAATAGATTGATGATCGTAGACTTTTTCCTTGAACTCTTGAATATAAACTACTAATAGGAGTACATTGGTCTGTATAGGTATGTTTCTGGGTTCGATTCCCGGTCAGGTCAATTTGAGAAGAGAACATTGTACTAAATAGCTTCGTGTCTGAGTGTTTTAGATTACGCCTCGAGTATAGACTGTTATTTTTAGTGTTCTAACACAATTTAATATTTATACCTTAGAATAAACTTTTCTACATTTATATTATAAATTTTATTACTCAGGTAACCGGTCAGGTTTCGCCGTACGAATTTAAAATATACGCCATTTAAAAACTGTTAAAAATATACATATATTTGAATATATTAGTCATTTATTTTTATTTATTAGTGTATGCATTCTATATTGGAAACAGATAAAAAAATTATATATATATACATATGTATATATATATATATATGTATATATATATTCTTTATTGCACTAAAACATACAGTAATAACAACAAATTAATAAGAAAGCTAGCAAAGGCGAACTTATGTTTAAAAGAGATTTCTTCCAGTCGACCTAACGCAGTGGCATAAGAAGTAGCACAATAATAATTCGTTTAAAATTATTTAATATTTACCCAGTTAAGGCATATGACTTATACCTTATGTTGTCCTCAGAAGTGGTAATACATGATATGTACCATGGATTTTAAAATATATTTCCTGTGACGTTTATAAATTTATTTACTTTTATAAATAACAACATCGCTTTTTATCAAGTGGTAATCAGTTTGTTTCAAATTTCAAGTGTTATAAAGTATCTGAAATCATTATCAGACCAAATTATAATGATAATTGACTCCCGCGCCAGATTCTCCACAAACGCCCAGACGGTCGACTTCCAAAATAGTTCCATAGCAGAACTAATGTTTACAGCGACCCGGCTGTTACTTTCCAAACCAAAGATTAACCTAATTCACTCGATGTTCCGATGCATCTAATAATAATGGGGATTTGGCAACAGCGCTTCATTTGCTGGTTTTATTTTTGACGAAAAGTCTTTCTTTTTATATAAAAAAAAATCCCTTTTAATCATTTGTCAGCTCAGTTGTGATTTGGACGTTTGATCGACAACAGTGGAGATATTTGGCTGATCTGTAACGCCTTGTTAAATTTAATCTTTACTCGAAGTTCTCAGTACAGTGTATTGACTCTTTAATACATTGGAAATTTAAATAGAACATATTGGTAAAAAAAAAAAAATTAAATAATATATATGTAAAAGAAAAATCTCTTTATTAATCAATTAAGTTAAATATTATTATATGAAAACGGTCACTGGTGATAATATTAAATATTAAAATGGAGTGTTTAAATGTAGAATCTACAGTTCAGATGGAAACAGAAGAATATGTTGACAAAAGAGAAGAATACGCGCAAATAATGGAAGAATTCGAGCAAGTAGTAAAGGAGAATAATGAGGACGAGGTACTTGATTTGATTGATAGTGATCAGAGATATTGCGGTGGATTCTATGTCGCCATTTGCGTAAACCTAACTCATTTTTAATTCCTAGTTTTCAATTTGATATTACAGCCAAATTTTTATACTTTAAAAGAATATGGTTTGAATTTGTAATAAATTTAAAACAAATTTATTATAAATTCAAACATTATAAATGTTTCATTAAACAGTAACTTTACGAAACTGTCAAATTAAAATATGAGATTAAGAAATAAGTTTAGGAAATTGGCGCCTCAGAATCGACCCCATTGCGTATGTACATACATACAATATTTCTTAACGAAGTCTCCTTAACTAAAAAGACTTCGTATTAAATGATAGTGTAAAAAATACAGACGTTTGGCTAAGTCAGAATATCTGTTAAATTTAAAATGTATTAAATAAATAGTAGAACAAATATATTGTATACAAATATATATGAAGATTATTTTTTAATTTAACAATATTTCCGAACGATTTTTAAAAATCATTTTAATATCTGATTTATACAATAATCATGCAATAATTTTTTTTATTAAACTGTATCTGAAACTTTAAATTATGATTATAAAAACATATTTTGGAATTTTATGAACTTTTTAAATTGTCTTGGGTCTAGATGTTTTGCGACGTGCCCCCAGATGTTAGCTGGTATCTCATAACACAGAGTACCCTGGCTTGAGGTTGAGATAATTTTTTGGAGTGACTATATAGCACTAATTATTAATTATAATTATTACTTCAAAATAAATAATTAAGTAGTGAAAAAAGTAGATATTGGTAAGTTTAATGCAATTTAAATTTTAGTAATTTAAAAACTTAGTTAACCTGTTGTGGAAACATTAAAAATTGTTTATGAAAATTTACAGACAAACCAATAGTATATTGAATTTTTTTCTTTTTTAATTTTTATTTAAAACGTTCAAAGTCTACAAGTGCATGAGGTTTATTTAAAAAAAAAATATAACCGCATATATTATCCTGTTAAATAATAAATAAATAATAATAAATAAATCTTTATTTTCAGGTATATACCCCCATAGTTTACAGTTACATTATTAATTATACAAACTATTATTATTTTTTTAAAAATACACGTTAATTACAAAATACTAATTTAAATTATTTAATTATAAAATCTAAAGTAATCTAAACATTTTGTAATGTTTTTTTTTTTCAGTTTTATGCATCGATTTACTAT